TTTGCTGGTTATTGTAACATTATATTTTTTCATAAGTATGTTAATCTGGTCAATATTAATTTCAACTTTTCCTTTTAATGATGTGATGTAAGCATTCAACATGTCTCGTAACGCTAAAATATCATTTACAAGTTGAGCAGTGTGGTTTTTATCATCATTACCAAGTGCAGTTTGAAATTTAGATGCTTCCATTTTAAGTTTAGCATTCTTTTCTGAAAGTTCTTGTTGTTCTTTTTCCTTGTTCTTCACTGCACTTCTAAGATTTCTTATCTCCTTGATATTTTCATCATACTTTTGCTGATTTTCATAAATTTCGGTTTCTTTTTGTGACAACTTATTTGATACGTCATTATATTGAATTGTTATTTGTTTTATTTCTTTATTTTTAGAATTCAAATCTTGATTATATCTTTCGGAAATTTCTCTGAGGCTTGTTTCGAAATTTGTTTTACTTTCATGCGTCTTGTTAAGTTCTTTACGAAGCCTTGCAAATTCTTCTTCGGATTGTTTATTTTTTTCGGAAAATAATTCGAGATTTTCTTTAAGTTCAGAATTTGCAAAGGAATATTCGTTAAGTACTTTACGAAGCTTTGCAACCTCTTTTTCGAATTGTTTATTTTTTTCGGAAATTAATCCAAACTTTTCTTGAAGTTCAGAATATTCGTTACGATGTCTTGTCAAATTATCTTCGGATAGTTTATATCTTTCGGAAATTTCTCTTAGCTTTTCTTCAAGTTCAAAATTTGTGTTTTGTGTACGGGATGGTTTGAAGACACCTAAATATTTTGGGAAGTTATGTAATGTAGAATCATTTTTATGAGTTGGTTTCAAAATTTCTTCAATTAGTTTAAGTTTTTCGGACATTTCTTCAAGTTGTTTATCTTTTACGGAAATTTTATTGTGCAGTTCATAATTTTCGTTTTGTATTTCAATATAACGATGGTCACGTTCTGCGCATAATGTTTTTATTTGTTCTTTCATTCCATTGAGCAATAATTCGATTTTGTCATTTGTATTATCAAACATATTTGGCTAAAAAAAAAAAAAAATTAAAATTATAAATAAGCGGAAATGAAAATAATAAAGCTAGTATATTTATATATATACTATATATATATATATATAGTATCATATCGTTACCATTATGGTTTTTATTGAAAATTAACTATTATTTATTAAGCTAGTACATCATATATAATGTCATCATATTGCATCATTGTTATTTTTATGTTTCATTTAAAAAATTTCTCACGTCACGCTTAACATAAATTATACAAAGATATCAAATTAAGAAAATCTAAATTACCAAGCGTGTGAAGAAATTTTTATTGATAATGAATTTTTTTTAATAATTTATTAATTAAATAAGCTATATAAAATTATTTTATAGAGTTAAATCATAATATTTTAATAAAAAAAAAAAACTTACCTTCTAATATATTCTTTTTTTTTCAATAATGCTTCTCACAATATCTCGGATATTGATAGATAAAGAAGGGGATGAATATCAAAAAACCACAAACAAAAAAAGAAGGTATATCAACAATTTCTTATATTTCTATATGATTGTTGATTTTTTTTTATTAGAGCCAATAATTTTTAATCTTCAAAGTATGATGTTTTAAATACTGAAAGGTGTTGAGGCTGCCATTAGAGCTGAATAAGCTGCCAATGCCGCACTAATGATTTGTAAAAAAAATTATCAAACTACGTTGGTTGAAATTAATGATCAAGTGCTACAAATGGCAATGGCAGGACCTATTAGCATCTAAATCTTTATTAAAACTGCTAAAACTGCTATATATCCTACAAATCCTGAGATGTGTAATGCCATCGATGCCAAAGTAAGATTACAAAATCTACCGTAAAGACAAAATTATACGGTGGAAATATTTACTTGAACACGAAAATTATTCGTCAGGTATTTTTAATCTTGTTTTAATTAAAAAAAGATCTCGTTATTTTGTTAACTAAATTTGGATCCATTTAAGGATTAATTTTACAAATATTATTAAAACACATGAACTTAACGAGTATATTAAGGCATTTTACTTGCATAAACAATCAAATATAAATTTAGAATTAATTCTATCGAGTGATTTGGTCTATTTTTTTCTCAAAATTAATGAAAGATGACATTTGGACAAAACCCAACCATGCTCGATATACAACTAATTACTACGGAGCTATAATCACGAGATTAATGTAATACAGCAATAAAAATAATAAATTACGTAAATATTTATGATCAGATGGTACAAAAAGCAAAACGGAAAAGGCATATAAGGTGACGTGTGGATAGAAGGAAGGAAAATGTAGGGGATAACACAAATTGTGTATGACCGTACAATTAATTGTCCTTCGCTTCGCTCCGGACAATTACACTTTTCTTACAAATATTTCTGCAATTTATGGATTTTATAATAAAATATAAATTATTTGCTTAACACATCAGCTAGACCCGTGTTAGCAATTGAAGCTCGTCGAGTTACTTTTGATCAAGTTTTCCCAAAACATTTGAATAGCAAAAGATTATTTTTCCAAGTTGGTGAGTAAATAAAATGGCAAGATACAAAAATGGATTCAGTAGCTTATACTGTACGTTTAGAGTTAGTATTAAATCTTTTTGCATTTTTCCCAGAAGGTTCACCTTTATTGCAGCTTTCTCTAAATTTGTCAAAGGGAAAGGCATTATTGATAACAACGTCATCAACTTACTTCCTAGTTAATCATTAATTTTCATCTTAAATAAATTATTTCTTTGATCAAAAGTTAATTTCTACACTATCAATAGAAAAAATAGAAAAATCTTACATTAAAAAAAAAAAATCCATTATGCGAAAAATAAAAAGTCAACGCCATAATGACTCCTATCAAGAATCCTATTGTAAATGTTACTTTTAGTTTTCTATTTCGTATTAAAAATGTCAATAAATTAACGATATTTTTTTTTTAAAAAAAAAAAATTTGAAATAAAAGAATAAAATCTTATGATTTCTCCTTTCACAGATGGTTCATACGAGTCACTAGATTTTATTCGATTTTTTTTTTACAATTAATTTATAAAGTTGTTGCTAATTTTAATAATATATTGAAATAGAATGATGAGAAATCCAATCAATATTTTTTTTTATTATTATTAAGAAAGGATTCTTTTACTTGGTTTTTTTCAAGAAATATTTACCTTGTTTACAAAACCATGCGTTGCGCACTAAAAATTTCATTAAATATAAAACATTTTAACGTTATAGAGGGAGCACTGATTTTTAAACAATAAACAATGATAATGAATATATTTTTTTATGTATAATTTTTTTAAATTTTAAATTGTTTAGTTAAAATATTTTTATTATAAAAAATTATAAAACAAATTTTTTGAATTGAGAGTGTGGTGGCAAGTATGTAAAAGTTCTTGAAAAAAAAGCAACGGCACATAAGAAATTCAACAAATTGAAAGGTTTGAACTATTAATATAATTCAAACCATGATAAAAAAAAGTGCTAATAAATTTATTTGAACCTTTAATAAGAAATCCGTATTTTACTGGCTTGCCAAATACAGTATTTAAAGTTAAAATCAAAATGATAAAAATTACCTTCAAGAAATTTTCGTATTAATAGAAAAATTTCTTAGCCTAAGTTTTTTTTTCCGATATAGTATAGCAATAATATTTTTAATAAAATAAAATAATTATTTGAGTTGACATTTAATTCCTGCTTGTTACTTGCTTCGGAGGTTATGAACCAAAGTAGTAAAGCTTAATTACTCCCGCGTTCTGGAGAAATTAGTCACATAGTGTATAAGCCACTACCAACTAGATCCCACAAAAATTGATAACTAACCCTGGCCCAACATAACCGGAATTATAGAAGGATTTTCAGATTTGCAGGGATATAGCACGAAAAGGAACCATTTATAACTCATTATATGGATTGGATACAATCAATGGACTTATAAATAAATATTTTATTAAATGGTTCGGTTAAATTTAACTTTTATATGCCAATATAAATTTCAGGTGAATACTGTATGTTCAGATTAGCTCTTTTTTTTCCCCATATGTAAAGCTTAATGGATAAAATTATAGTATGTTACTAATAAATGAATGCCAACACATAGCGGTTGCAAAGAAAAAAAGTCCTTACATTATTTTTCATATCATTTTATATTTTTTGATTTCTTATTAATTCGATACTATTTCTACTTTTAGTATGGCAATAACAATAGTCACACTTTAAATTTAAGATTCTTTTTGAATCAAATAAAGATTACAAGTGGTAACAAAAAAAATAATAATATATAGAGGCGGATAAATATCAGCCGATAGGCTGATATGGCCCCTGCCTAATAACTCTTTTTGAGTGGTCTATTAGGACCGATGATTGGCACGTAATTACAACGTCATGCCATGCGTCGACAATATCATTTGAGGTCCCGTTGAGGTGCTAATAGATGCACAATAAATGATAATATTTAAAGGAATTATTGCCGATTGCGTCGGTATTTACAAAATATAAGGCAAAACTGATCGGTCCGCAACCTATTTTTGGACTCAAAGTAAATCCTCCATGAATAGGTGATGATGAATTCATATTGCTGACGGATTATATGTTACATGCAAAATAACATAAGGTACTAGTCTTTTTCGTATTAGGCAAGTAACAACAACATAAATTCTATGTATAATGCAAAATATTCAGTCGTATATTGAATTGTTAATTCAAACACAATGACTTCTGATCTTATCAATACATCTATTTATTTTTTCAAATTAAATGAGGATAAACGATTATTTTTATTATTGATAATGAAATATTTCATCACATGCTTAGTTTGGCGCAGAATTTCTTGGGATGTTAAAATAAAATACTAGAAATGTCTGATATAGCAGACATATATACCCTTCTTCTTCGTGTCTTCATAAAGGTTTTAATGAGATAACTAACTACACTAGCGAATCGTAATAATTAAATACTAATAATAAGTAAATAAGTGTTTGTTGACTTGAGAAAGCAAGGAAATCCAGGTCAACAGCGGCATATAATAGAATAAAAGAAATGGACGGAACGACATTGTATTTAAAATATCATTACCTTCTATAATACGTTCGTTCGCAAATTGCGTTTCATTGATCATAATTGTAAATTCTAAACGATCCAGATAATTTGTTTAAGGCATAAAAATAAATGAATAATTTTTATCAAATATCTGAACATTATTTAATAATGTTTTTATTTTTTTTTGTTTTTATAAATTTATTCTGCAGTAAATTTGAATAAGAATCCGAAATTTATAACAAAAAAAATTAGGGCTTTAAATTATATTTTATTAATCTCATTATTTAGTAATTTTCTGTATCTGATAATTACCGAATTTAATTATTAAATACATAAAATGAATAAAACTAAACTTTATTAATTTAAAGTTATCTTATTTATAAATACAATATTTGTTTAAAATGAAAAAACTAAAATCAAAAATAAATTAATAAATAAATACATAATAATCTAAAAATTTGATACTAAAATTAAATTAACAAATTTTAAATTAAATAATCTGGTATTTATTGAGATCATAATTTAAATAGGAAAACTTACTAGATAAATTCTCAAAGGTATTTAACTGAATAGAATCGCCAATATTTGAATCTGGATCTGAATTATTCTCTGTATTTTTTTGTAGTTTATAAATTTAAATATAAAAAATCAGCCAAATTATATAAACTATAAAAACTTTAACATGAAAATCTACCTTTGGTTGATTCATCATCGCCAATATTTTTTCCAAAGCCCATCTTACTAAATCTTTTTAATACTTCTTTAATAATTGGTCTTTGCTCAGGTTCTTGTTTCCAGCATTTTTTATATAGTTTTTCGTAATCATCAGGTGTATCCGCTATAGAAATTTCACGAGTTTCATAACAAGTAATAGCGATGATAAGATCCTGATTATTATTAAATTTATTTTCAAATGGAGATTGTCCACTAGAAATTTCCCACATCAATATACCAAAACTGTAAATATCTGAAGCTTTAATATATTCAAAGTTTTGATCGGCAAGTATTTGTGGTTCCATATAAGCAGTTTTACCAAAAGGTCCAATATGCATTGACGAATTATATTCAATTTTTGAAATACCAAAATCTGTAATTTTAGCATTACGATCATGAATAACAATATTTTTAGAGTGCTAAATTAAAGAATATCATTAATATTACATAAAATTTAACAAATAAAGTAATGGCAAATAAATATTTACAAGATCTCTGTGTAAAACATCTTCATTATGCAAATAATTTAATCCATCCGCAATTTGATAAGCCAATTGTTTTTTATCGTTCCAATTTAATTTTTCAAAATTATTTTCTAGGTAAGTTTGAAGATTACCATTATTTGCATATTCCATTATTAAATAAAGTTCACTTGACTTTGGATCTATAAATATAATAAATAATAAATAATAATTCTTAAAAAAATTAAGCTTATCTAATTACCTTGGCTTATACCTAAAAAACGTATAATTCGATTACTATGGTTAAGATGCAAATGTATTTTTAACTCATAAATAAATGCGTTTAATTTATCATTATCACATTTAAATATACATGTATTAAATTTTTTACAGATTGTATAATCATTTGTTTTTGACCAAATTGCTTTTATAATACTTCCAAAGCCGCCTTTATCAAGTTGTTTTAAATCAATTAAATCATCAAAAGGTATAATTTTAACTTTATTATTTAACTTGACATTAATCAATTCAAACATATTGCAATTAACTTCATTTAATTAAACATAAATAAATTAGTATAAATATTAGCTTATAAAAAAATTGATTATTAATATTTTAACATACTTTTAATTGGTTTATTTATAAAACTCATCCTTGAGAATTCTTCTAATATTTCTGTAATGGTAGGTCTTTGTTTATGTTCTTGATCCCAACATTTTTTATAAAGTTTTTCATAATCCTCAGGAGTATCTGTTATAGAAGTTTCACGAGCTTTATTATTAATAATAGCAGCACAAATAGTGGTATCATTTAAATCTTTAAATGGAGGATATCCACTAGAAATTTCCCACATTAAAATTCCATAACTATAAATATCTGACGGCTTAATATATTGAAAGTTATGATCTGTAAGTATTTGTGGATCTATATAAGCAATTTTACCACAAGGTCCAATATGTCTAGTAGAATTATTTCCAATTTTTGAAATACCAAAATCTGTAATTTTAGCATTATTATTATGAACAAGTATATTTTTAGAATGCTAAATAAATTTTAAATTTTAAAATAAATTTCTCAAATCTATATTATAAAAATTAAATAAATAAAAGTAATACTTAACAAGATCTCTATGTAAAACATCTTCATTATGCAAGTAATTTAATCCATTTGCAATTTGAAATGCTAACTTGGTTTTATCATTCCAAGTTAAATTATTAAAATTATTTTTAAGATAATTTTGTAAATTACCACTATTAGCATATTGCATTATAAGAAGGTATTCATTTGATATAGAATCTGTAAATAATATATTAATTAATAATTATTTTTTTAAAAAACAATATATATGGGAGTATTGTTAGTAAAATCACATTATAGTCATATGATTTATTATATATCATAACTTTATTTTACTAACAAATTCTCATATATTAATTAGTAATTAAAAAATTACCTAGACTAATACCTAAACAATGTATAATATGATTACTATAATTAAGATATAAATGAATTTTTAATTCATAAATAAATGCATCTTGATTAATAGTATTTGTATTTATTAATCTTTTAAATACAATAAAATTACCAGTTTTTAACCAAGTTGCTTTTGTAATATTACTAAAACCCCCTTTATCAAGTTGTTCTAAATCAGTAAATTCATTAAAAGATATAAACTTAACTTGATTTTTTAAGGATTTATTAATGAATTCAATTGCAGCAATATTTTCATTAATATTTTGACGATTAGTTTCATATTTTCCAAAACTTCTTTCATATTTATTTTCATTTTTTACTAATCTTTGATGCCATTCATATGCTTTTCCTAAATCTTTTTTAACTCCTATTCCATTTAAATAACATTTGATTATATTATGTTGGGCATCTTTATTTTTATTTACAGCAGATTTTTGATACCAATAAAATGCTTTTTTAAAATCTTCTTTAATTTCAATACTTTTTTCATAAAAGTATCCTAATTTGTATTGTGCAATATCATTCTCATTTTCTGCTGATTTTTGATACCAATAAAACGCTTTTTTTAAGTTCTTTTTAATAAATTTTCCTTCTTCATAATAAAATCCTAAACTATATTGAGCAAATTCATTTTCATTTTCTGCTGATTTTTTATACCATTTAAATGCTTCAATCATATTTTTCTCAACACCTAAACCATAATGATAACAAATTGCTAAATTGCATTGAGCAATATGATTTTTATTTTTTGCTGATTTTTTATACCAATAAAATGCTTTTTTAAAGTTTTTTTTAACTTTTATACCTTTTTCATAAAAATATCCTACATCATTTTGTGCATTACTATAATTTTGTTCAGCTGATTTCTTATACCATTCAAATGCTTTATTAATATCTTTAACAATACCTTTTCCATAATAATAACAATTTCCCAAATTATATTGTGCAGTAGAATAATTATGAGTAGCTGATTTTTGATACCAATAAAATGCTTTTTCTAAATCTATTTCTATACCCTCTCCATTTTCATAGCAAATTGCTAAATTGTATTGTGCATCACTATTATTTTGAATAGCTGATTTTTGATACCAATAAAATGATTTTTCTAAATCTATTTCAATACCCTTTCCATTTTTATAACAAATTGCTAAATTGTATTGTGCAAATTGATTATTATTTTGATCAGCTGATTTTTGATACCAATAAAATGCTTTTTTTAAATCTATTTCTATACCCTCTCCATTTTCATAACAAATTGCCAAATTGTATTGTGCATCACTATTATTTTGATCAGCTGATTTGAGATACCAATAAAATGCTTTTTTAAAATCTATTTCAATACCTTCACCATTTTCATAACAATTTGCTAAATTATATTGTGCAAATTGATTATTATTTTTTGCTGATTTTTGATACCAATAAAATGCTTTTTTTAAATTCTTTTTAACTTCTATACCATTTTCATAATAATATGCTAAATCATTTTGTGCATCACTATTATTTTGATCAGCTGATTTTTGATACCAATAAAATGCTTTTTCTAAATCTATTTTTATACCTTCTCCATTTTCATAACAAATTGCTAAATTGTATTGTGCATCACTATTATTTAGATCAGCTGATTTTTGATACCAATAAAATGCTTTCTCTAAATTTTTTTCAACTTTTATACCTTTTTTATAAAAATAACCTAAATTGTATTGTGCATTACTATAATTTTGATCAGCTGATTTTTTATACCAATAAAATGCTTTTTCTAAATTCTTTTCAACTTTTATACCTTCTCCATAAAAATATCCTAAATTATATTGTGCAATAGCATTATTTTGATTAGCTGATTGTTGATACCAATAAAATGCTTTTTTAAAATCTATTTCAATACCTTCACCATTTTCATAACAATTTGCTAAATTATATTGTGCAAATTGATTATCATTTTTTGCTGATTTTTGATACCAATAAACTGCTTTTTTTAAATTCTTTTTAACTTCTATACCATTTTCATAAAAATATGCTAAATCATTTTGTGCGTCACTATTATTTTGATCAGCTGATTTTTGATACCAATAAAATGCCATTTTTAAATCCTTTTTATTTCCCCATCCATTTTCATAAAAATATCCTAAATTATTTTGTGCATCACTATTATTATGATCAGCTGATTTTTGATACCAATAAATTGCATTTTTTAAATCCTTTTTAATTATCCATCCATTTTGATAACATTCAGCTAAATTATATTGTGCATTACTATTATTTTGATTAGCTGATTTTTGATACCAATAAAAAGCTATTTTTAAATCCTTATCAATTCCCCATCCATTTTTATAACATTCAGCCAAATTATATTGTGCATCACTGTTATTTTGAATAGCTGATTTTTGATACCAATAAAATGCCATTTTTAAATCCTTTTCAATTCCCCATCCATTTTGGTAACGTTTAGCTAAATCATATTGTGTGACATTATTTTCTGTTATTAATTAAATAAAAATTTAATTCAGCTTAAATTATGTAAAACATGCAGATAATTTTCTAATAAAGTAACTAACCATCTGTTAAATTGAATAATTGTTAAACAAGTTTAGAAATTTATTTTAATTTAGATTAACATATAAAAAATTACAGTTGAGGAATGAATAATTAATTAAATTGGATTATTGTGAATTATTGAAGAAACTATATAATAACTTACAAATCGAGATATATAATTAATAAATAACTTACCATCTGTATTATCGATTTGATAAAGATTAAATAAAAAATCAATTCAATATAATAATAATTTAAATATTAATTTTTATCAACGGTTATATCACCCAAGTGATAATAAAAAAATAACTTACGCCCTGCAAAGAAAATTTTATTTGAGTTTATTTTACCTTTAAATTGTATAAATTGTAATAAATATAAAAGTATAAACAACCAGCTTACTATTTTCATTTTCCATGGTTATATTAATTTTATGTGGATTACAAGAAATAAATTTATTCAAATAATTAAATGATTTTCCTATTATGCATGCACCTCAGCCACAGATTCCGATATACATTACGGTATGCTTACATAAGCGAGATCCTTCTGTAAATCATAAAGGTTTAAATTCCACAGGTTAAAAGTTTAAAATTAATTTCAATTTATCATAAAGAAATTCTACGGAGACTATGAGATTTGCATATCACGGATCATATGATTTACTATATCTCATGACTTTATCAAAATATTTCATGAATAAAACATTTAAAATTGCGAATTACCTTTAATATTGCCAAATAATAATGTGAAAAATTTATATAGAATAGAATATACACTAGATTATACACAAGAAATCCTTCTGTCTTTAAAGAAAAAAATATTTATTTATAATAAGAAAAAAAAAAGAAAATAAAGCAAATAGTTATTTGCGTAATATTTACGTAGATCTTTCCTTTTGTTGATAAAAGTCGCCCGTATAGTTAGCTGCTACTGGTATTACATAATTCCGGCCTGAAAAAATCGCATAAAACACTTGTAGTTATTTTTTTGTTGGGCCTTAGAATTGCATTTTTAATACATGGTTCGGATTTTTCATCAAAATCCGAAATGTTCTGGATTTGGAAAATGGTTTATCCCGAAACATCAAGTTATTTTATTTTGAAAATCCTTCCTTTTAATTAATACAACAAATTCATAAAATAACTATGAATCTATCAAGCTAAAAAGTATCTGATTCAACAATTTGTTTGACAAATGGACCGAATAAAAAAAACTAAAAAGCATAAAAATTATTATTAAGGAGGAGACAATTTGGGAAAGGATGATGCATTAGCGATATAATTTGTCTTTCCATTTCAAAGATTTATATTTGAAGATCAATGTTGTTTTATTAGTACATCATCAAAAGCTTCGGAAATTCGATACGGAAAAAAGCAAGCGACAAATGACTTTAGCTTTGAAATGCTTCAGAATTGTGCAAGCTTTAGTATCGTCTCAGGAACTTTTTTTTTTACTACCATTCTTAAGAAACGGCGGGAGTGTGTTAAGTCAATTTATCAAAAAAAGTCAATATAGAGTGACTTGAACGGAATGATGTTGGACTGTAATAATATTGAACAAAACGATGGAGAAATTAAAAAAAAAAAGTTTTTGAAAATATAGTTTGATTAATGAGCTTCTTAATATTGTTAACAGCAGTTCTTTAGTGTTTATGGATTATAAACAGTAATAAGATAAGGTAAGCAGAAGTTTTCGTGGTTTAGTGATTTAATAATTTTATTAATAATAATTCTAATCTAATAAAAGTATTTTCTTCAACGTCAACTCTTTATACAATCAGGTATGTTTATTAGTCCTAAGTAAATATCTAAAACACGACATTACAAGTAAAGTAGCAAATCAAAATCTTGATATATTAATCGACCCTTAAAATAAGGTCATATGTTGTTTATGACTTTGTCAAGATGATTATGAATTAATTTTAATTTGAATTGTGGTTTGAAAAATTTAAGATTTTATTGATTTCTAATTCTAATAAGCACGATAAACTGTTGTTTACATGATGTTGTGATTAACATAGGTATAATAATTTAATATTTACAAAAAAAAATCTAGACTTTGTGAAGTGAAATGAAAACCTTTTTTTTCAATTATAGTAATGGCTTATTCGGTAATTATAAGATCAAGATGCGTTTAAGCTATATTAGAATCATTTTAACTGAGAATTTTTTTATTTTATCGCCAAAGTTTTATTTATTGTCATTTTATGATGATGAAGAAATAATCCATATAAACTACAAAGGGCGGAGCATACAAACGAACACGGTACTTCAATAGTATGATGACTTTGAAAATGTTGTACAATGGTGACAAGAGGCATGTAGAATAATTTAAATAAGTAAATAAATAAATAATAAAAATAACTTTAATTAAACAAATGATTTCGTGAATGATGTGTTTTTGGTCCTTACCTACTAGCCTAATATTACGAAAATGATAAAGCCAAGATTGTTTATTTGACGGCGGATTGATTGAAAAAAGTATTCGGTAAAGTTACAATTGACAACTGAATATGCCGGTAATTTTCAACTGGTGAAGTACTTAATAAGGACTACCACTCAAACTAATAATGATTGCGGTGACACCGAGGATCTAACAATCGTAACTCATCCGATTTGACGAAGATTTTCGCTGAAGTACATTTGTCGAAAAAACGATTCATCAAATATAAAAAATTACTTTGAATTTCAGCTAAAAATCATTTAAAAGCAGGTATTACTGGTATTACTGTCAAATACAATTCATGCTTCAAGAATTTGTCGAGAGATTAAGATACCATTCGCTGATGATAATCCGAATTTTACATCTTGAGCTTCATTGCTACAATATGTTACTGGTGAAGAGAAGATCATAATGGAAGAAAAAGTATGGTTGTTGGAACTTGATTTTTACGTTATCAAATCCATGTTTGAACAGGATTATCGACATGATTGGCACTCAATTAAATTATTCTTCAAGAAAATGTTCGGAAATCTTTATTTACAAAAAGCAATCAAGAACTAATTTAGTCAAGTGGTAGGTTCCGACACATACTACTGCAGCAGTTGTGCGTGGCGCAGCATTGTATGGAAAAAGTTTAAAAGCTCTAGTTCAATACGTATCATAATGACTCGCAAATTGCGTTCGGAGCCTTAATATCTCCTGAATGGGAAATCGAAGATCCACAAGAACGAATCACTCTGTGGAAGAATTGATAATTTCTCTTTCTCGCGAAACGTGGGACTGAGCTACAATCAATCAAGAATTTACGGATACATTGTATCCAGTTTACGCAGCAAACAAATTAAAATTTTTAGTTAACTATACAAAAAAGCAAGACGTCGTTTATTGTGATGAACCTGGGATGGAATTGCTTTAAACATTGCTTATTGACCTTGTCATGCCGACGCACATTTAGGAACAGTGAGACCTGTTACGTTCAGCCTGTCATTTGTGGTATAGAAATAAGAGCCACAGCTTATAACAAAACAAATGGTCAAAATTACGAAACCAATTTCGAATTAAATTAAAATTTTTCTGATACCCTTGTTGATAGTGATCAAAATTTCGAATAACCATTTTTTTACGTTTGATTTAATTTTATTTGATATTGTATATTATAATTTTTTTTTTTGTCTTTATTTAAAGATAATAATTTATTATATATATTCAAAGAAACATGAAACAAATTTATTTCTTTTAAACTACTTCATTATGGCACTTCACCCCTTTTAATAGTTTTAGTTTTCGTAATACTAGTTTTTCTTTTTGTAAATACATGAGCATGAGTATATATTTTACGTTTCTCCAAATTTTCTAAATCTCGACCAATCATCGGAAAAGCACAAACTTCCACTTCCAGATCATCAATATCTTCGTTATCCCAGATTCCATCCATAACGTTTGGATCTATGTCAGAACCCACTTCCACCCATTTAATTTGAGCAACAGGTTCTTGAATTCGCAACCGAAACCAAAATATTCTAATTAATTCTCGAATAAGTTTCGGTGCCATATTCTCGATGATTTCTTTCTTTACTGGATTTTTAATTATACGATATTTATTCATTTCTTCATTTAAAATATCTTTAAATGCACTTATGAAAGGGTGCTCTTGTGTAGTATTCTTATCTAAAACATCCGAAAATCCTCGATTACTAAGAGCGATATTAACTTCTTGCCGAATTTTTATTGAGGTCATTTGGGTCATTAAGTCTTTTTCATTTCGAGTTTTAGAGAATTCAACTAATCTTTCTTCTAAATTTTTTGATTTGGACATAATATCTGCTTCCAGATGTAATACAGATGAAGAATCGTTATTTTTCTCAAAAAATGATTCCACTTCCTTCATTATTTTCATTAAAATATGGAACGATAATAATGCTTTAATTAATGGATAATTGGGTTTGCTGGTTATTGTAACATTGTATTCTTTCATAAGGTTGTTAATTTGGTCAATATCGATTTCAATTCCCCATTTTAATGATGAGATGTAACTCCTCAATGTGTCCCGTAACGATAAAATATTATTTACAAGTTGAACGCCGTGGTCTTTATCATCATCATTCATCCGAATATATGTTGCATTACCAAGTGTAGTTTGATATTTAGATTCTTCCGTTTTAAGTTTAGTATTCTTTTTTAAAAGTTCTAATTGTTCTTTTTCCTTGTTATTCGCTGCACTTCTAATAAGTGCTCTTCTCTCCTTGTTATTTTCATCATACTTTTGCTGATTTTCATAATTTTCGGATTCTTTTTGAGAAAAATTATTCAATACGTCTTTATTATTATCCAATTCGTTTTGATACCGTTCGAGCGTTTCCTGGAATAAAGATTTTTTTTTACGCAACTTTTCGTTACGATGTCTTGTCAAATTATCTTCGGATTGTTTATATCTTTCGGAAATTTCTCCATCGAGCAAAGATTTTTTTTTACACAACTCTTCAAGCTCTTCGGATTTTGTATATTTTTCGGAAATTTCACTGAGCTTTTCTTCGAGTTTAGAATTTTTCATTTGCATTATTGAACTCTTATTGGAACATTGTTTTTCATGTTCATCACGAAGTCTTGACAAATTTTCTTCGGATTGTTTATATTTTTCGAAGATTTCTCTTAGCTTTTCTTCTAGTTCAAAATTTATGTTTTGTGTACGGGATGGTTTGAAGTCACTTAAAACTTTTGGTAATGTATGTATTGTAGAATCTTTTTTATGAGTTGGTTTCAAAATTTCTTCAATTAGTTTAAGTTTCTCGGACATTTCTTCAAGTTGTTTATCTTTTACGGAAATTTTATTGTGCAGTTCATAATTTTCGGCGCATAATGCTTTTATTTGTTCTTTCATTCCATTGAACAATAATTCGATTTTGTCATTTGTATCATTTTCTTGTGAATCATCAAACATATTTGGCTAAAAAAAAAAAAAAAAAAAATAGATTTTGAAAAATTATAAAATAAGCGGAAATGGAAATAAAGGTAGTATATTTATATATATATATGGTATCATATCGTTACCATTGTGGTTTTTTTTTGAAAATTAACTATTATTTATTAAGCTAGTACATGTCATAATATTGCATCATTGTTATTTTTGTTTTTTATTTAAAAAATTTCTCACGCTTAACAAAAATTATAAATTTATTGCCAAAGATAACCAAGACTCAAAAAAAACCAAATTAAGAAAATCTAAATTACCAAGTGTTGGAAGAAAATTTTATTGATTATGAATAATTTTAATTAATTAAGTTCTATTTCTCATAAATACACTAATTTCTTTTTTATTTTTTATTTTATTTAATATTTGATTTCAAGGTGAATTCTGGTATTTTGATCGAATGAAACAGCCTTTCCGAGATTAAACAAAGTTGTTTTTTTTCATTAGGTATCGAAAAGATTGTGTGTCAAATTCAATAAATATTCACGAAACTATCAATTTTTTCATAAATACACTAATTTCTTTTTATTTTTTATTTTATTTAATTTATTTTTCAAGGTGAATTCTGGTACTTTGGTCGAATGAAGCAGCCTTTCCGAGATTAATTAAGTTGTTCAGTAGGTATCGAAATTATTGTGTATCAAATTTCATTAGTATTCAATAAATATTCACGAAACTGTCAATTTTTTTCATAAATATACTAATTCTTTTTTATTTTTTTTTTTATTTAATTTTATCTTGGAAGGTAAATTCTGGCACTTTGGTCGAATGAAGCAGCCTTTCTGAGATTAAACAAAATTGTTCAGTAGATTTTAAAATGATTGTATATCAAATTTCATTAATATTGAATAAATATTAACAAATCTATTAATTTTTTCATAAATATATTAATTAATTTTTTTTTTTTATTTTTTTTTTTAATTAAATACATAGGCAAGATAAAACTGATTTTATATTTATATTTTCTCTTTTAATACAATTTACAGCGAGATAAAACTGTAATTTTGTATTTAATTTCTTATATTTTTTTTTTCAACAATTTATTTATATAGATACAATTCAACAGATAAAACTGAATTTGTATTTATATTTTCTCTTTTAATACAATTTACAGTGAGATAAACTGTAATTTTGTATTTAATTTCTTATATTTTTAATAAACTTTTTATATAGGTACAATTCAGCGAGATAAAACTGATTTTGTAATCATATTTTTCTTTTAATACAAATTGCAGCGAGATAAACTGTAATTTTGTATTTACTTTCTTATATTTTTTTATATTTCTTTTCATTAATTTTTTTATATAGGTACAATTCAGTTAGATAAAACTTTATTTGTATTTATATTTTCTTTTTTAATACCATTTGTAGTGAGATAAAACTGTAATTTTGTATTATTTCTTATATTTTTTTTTTTAATAATTTAAAATAAACCATTATAATTATTGAAATTAATTGAAAGTAAAAAAAAACAAAATCTTATTACTTGGTAAGAAAGAGATTAAAATTATTTGTCAAAAGTTTAATAACAAATTATGTGACATGATACAAGAAATAATGCCATTTGATTAAAAAAGAAAAAATCATTTTTAAAATAAAAATTATGAAGAAATTCCAACATTAAAAAAACATTATTTCAAGAAAGGTTTAATTTGCCTTGAAATTAAAAAGAAAAGAATTGATTTAAATATGCAACATAGCGTTAATCATAGTTTATGATTTGTAACCATAATAAATCACTAAGATCTGAAACTTTCTTAATTTTCTATAATTTCTTAATTTTTTATTTTCTTATATTTTTATAATATATTTATTTTCTTAGTTATGTTTATAGATTATAATTTAGTAAACTATTCTTTTTATATAAAGACAAACAATTTATATATGTATTTCAAGTAATTATTTGTTCTTTTCATTTTATAAGTAAACATTCTTGTAAATTATATTGCAATGAATGGGATAAGTTGATAAGTTGCGTGAGAATGAAGTTCCCTCTATTCGCAATTTCTAGTTCATATATTAATAACTTTCAAATGATAAAAAAATGATTTAAAAATAAATATACTTAACAATTTTTCAATATTTTATTAATCATTATAATTGGATACAAAAGTACAAAAAGTGAAATAGAGGTAATATATCATATTAAATAAGTTATTATTAATTAACTGATTATTAAAGGAGAATTATAATATACCTTTATTTATTAGTATTGAAACTATTATCTTCATATTTATTATAAAATATGTAAGAAAAACTTGATATATAGAATTACAATTTATGATTGCATAATTAAGTATCATAGGTCGAATACTAATCAATCAGGTAACTTTTCAATTAGTTCCTTTTTTAATTAGCAATCTATAGATAGAAATTAGTAAATACTATAATTAGGTATGGATCAGCTAATACTTAATTGATAATTATTAGGTAAAATTACATAAATCTGATTTTATACTTATTTTAAAAAATTGTAAACTATGTATTTTATAATAACCAATCAGTTTCAATTAATAATTGGTTATTGATCAATTTAATATCTGATTGATAAATATTATTTAATTAGAATTTCTGATTGGTAATACTAATAAGGTTCATTAATAATTCTTAGTGAAATTCGTAAAAATTAATGAAATTATTAATTGTTAATTTTGTTAATAATTAATATATCAAATCGTTAACAAATTTTTATAAGCAATTAACACATTTTCATTAAATAGTTAATGAATTTTCACTAATAATTAACAAATTTTTGTTAACGAATTAATATATTTTTTTTAATTTATTAATGAATTTCATTAATGATTTGATAATTTTTTAATGAATTTTCATTAACAATTAATAAATTTCATTAATTCATAATAAAAATTTATTATAATTGAAATATTTTATCAAATTTTATTAACAAATTGACATATGAGTGGTATGTTATTAAAATTAAGGTACAAATCATATGATTTACTATATCTTGTATCTCAATTTTAATAGTATACCATCCATATTTTTATCAATTTGTAATGTATTTTTATAATAAATGACATATTTCAGTTAATTGTTAATGAATTTTTGTTAATAATTAACAAATTTTAATCAATTTATTAATGAATTTTTGTTAACAATTGACAAATTTAGTCAATTTATTTAATGAATTTTCATTAATAATTGATAAATTTTTATCAATTTGTTAATAAAAATTCATTAACAATTAATATATTTTTATTAATGATTGACATATAATATTTCAATTAATTCAGACATATTTTCATTAATTGTTTATAAATTTTTATTAACAATTGACGAATTAGCGAGATTTGTTAATAATTTAATGAAAATATATCAATTATTAATGAAAAGTTCATTAATAAATTAATTATATTTAATGAAATGACAATATTTATCTATTTAAAGACAAATTTTATTAATACAAAGATAATATTTATTAATTCAAAGAAAATTTTTTGTTAATCGATAATAAATTTTATAATTTTAAATATGAAATATCATATTTGAAGACAAATTTTGTATTCAAAGGTGATTATTATCAATCAATGATAAATTTTGTCATTTTAGATGCTAATATTTCAATATAATTTTTGTCTTCTATATACTTTTATATATAATTTGTTTACTATAAAAATTGTGTATCATAGTAAATTATATATATTTAATTTTTTTTTAAAAAATCATAAACTTTACTCTTTTTCCTTTTTTTTAAGTTTTTTTTTATTATTATAGATTTTCTCTTTCTTTTTTTTTCTTTTTTTTTTTTTTTTAATAAAAATGTACTTTTTTTACCATTGGCTAAGGTAAGGTTACAAATCAAAATACTTTTAATAATGTTTTTTTAATTTTTTTTTTTTTTTAATAAAAATGGAATTTTCTTGTTATAAGTTATAGAATGTTATAAATTGGAAAAGTATTTTCAGTTTTTACTTAATTTTTCTTATTTTTTTTATAATACAAAACTATACTAAATCTTTTTTATTTTGGATAAGATAAGTAGTTTTTTTAAGGATGTATTTCAGATTTTTACTAATTTTTTTTTTTTTTTAATAGGAATTGACTTTTTTTATTATTAGTTAAAATAAGTTTACAAATCAGATTATATTTTAATATTTTAGATTTTAACTAATCATTTCCTTTTTTTTTAATAGAAGTGAATTTTTTTTGCTATTGATTAAAATAAGTCTAAAAATCAAAATAGTTATTTTTGGATTTTACTAATTTTTTTTAATAGGCTTATTTTATTGGCTAAAATATGCTACAAATTAGCTCTTTTGGATGATATTTTTTGGATTTTTACTAATGTTTTCTTTTTTTTTTTAATAAAAGTAGATTTTTTTGCTATTAGTTAAGATAAGTATATAAATTGAAATGATTTTTTCTTTTTTTAATAAAAATTGAATTTTTTTGTTATTGATTAAGATAAGTTTATAAATCAAAATAGTGATTTTTCAAATTTTTAACAATTTTTTCTTTTTTTAATAAAAGTGACTTTTCTTAATAATTGGCTAAGTTATATAACAAATCAGGACTCTTTTTGATGATAGTTTTTTGGATTTTTATTAACTTTTTTCTTTTTATTAATAGTAAATTTTTTTGCTATTAGCTAAGATATACTACAAATTTAGTATTAATTTTTCAGATTTTATTAATTTTTACTTTTTTAATTAAAATAGACTTTTCTTGTTTAATCTTTTTTAATAGAAATGTATTTTTTTTCAAATATAGTAAATAATTAAATTAAATAAATTTGTATCAATCAGAAGCTTATTATTATATAAGATTCAGAAATATAAATATTCAGAAAATTAGAATTCAGGAAAATATCTATTTAAAAAATTAGATAAATTAGATTCCAGAAATTTAAATATTTTGGTAAAAGATCCAATTTAAAAAATAATCATTTGAAAATATGACTTTAGAAAAAGGTATATTTGAAAAATTAGCATTCAGAAGCTTGTCTGATAAGATTAATAAAGATTAATAATTTTATTTATTAGTAATTTTATATAATATAATATATATGACTTATATTAAATATATTCAATATAAACATTTGTAATTATAGTAAATAAAGCTAAAAATAATATTATGTTTCTTAAAAAACTTGAGTATATTTTTTTTAAAAAAAAATAAATATTGATCACAATAAATTATTTATATTGTTTAATACATATAATAAATTTAAAATATAAATATATTAAAGCTAATATTATTCAAGAAGAGGGATATTATTTTAAATGAAATAATTTATAAAAGTATAATAATATTGAAATATAATATTAAATTACATAAAATTTTTATAAAATTTAGTTATATTATAAAAAAGAGAAAGATTTAGAAATTAATTTGAATTGTATATAGAAATAAATTAACTTTTAGTTTAAATATTAAAATATGATAATACTTAATATATTTATATTGCAAAGTTATTATATTCAATTTGTAACTCAAATTAAAACTATTAAAAATAAATAAATTAATATTATATTCGAAAAATCATAACAGTAATATTAAAGATTATTATTAATTAAATATTTGTAACTTTTTGATATTTCAAAGATTATATTTTAGTGACTACATTTAAGTCAATATAATGAATTAATATAATATCATGCAAAGTTAATAAACAATATAAATTTACAAATAGGTTAAAGGATTGTAAAGGATAGCTTTTACTTGTTTAATTATATTTTTTATTAATTTAATAATAAAAGTAAGTTCTTTATCTTCTAAGATATTATAAGATATTAACCTTCATTATCTTTAAGTTAATTGATAAATAGATTAATTAATAGTTCATATTAAGACTTGATAAAATACAAATATATTTATATATGTTAAATAATTAATAAAATAAATCAAACTAAATATATTTATGAAAATAAAATTGATATTAAATCATTAAAAATTATTTAGGTAAAATTTTTATTTATTACAAAATATTTAACATTTAAAGAAATAAGTAAATTTAATAGTATAATGATGAATTGAAAATATTAAAAGAAAAGATTTATATATATAGTCTTTTAATGATTTATATTTTTGTAATATGTTATAAATAAATATCTAATTTTATTTAAAGAATATAATATAATTAAATGCTATGTAATATATCTGATATAAAATAACTTTTTTATTTGATTAAAAGTAATAAATGATAAAATAATTAATGTAATTACAATTCTTAGAAGTTTTATTATTATAAAATATATATCAATATTATAATATTATTATAATGATTATTTAATAAATTACGCATATAATATATTAATTATTTTTAATAAAGATTATTGTATTATTATTAATTCTGACTATATTGTTTGTTAAGAATAGTTAATACAAGTTGATCTGAGATTTAGAAGATCAATACAATTCAAATTGATCACTAAGCATGTTGACTATATGATAAATCATCCTTTAGCCAAATTGATCACTATAAGATGAACTTCTGTCAACTTATCTTTTAAGTAAGTCATTTTTTCAAAATTCATGTAAAAAAAGATGGATTAATACTTGGATTAAAGAGATAGTTTACTTAAATAATACATTTTAATTATATAGAAATTTTCTAATAGTTCTTTTAATTAGATAATTTTAATAGCCATAGTAATTTTGCAATAATTAATATTTAATAAAATTGACTCTGAAGATCAAAATACTAAGAATTGAAGCAATACTGATATTTTTAATTTTTATTAAATAAATTTTTATCCTTCTGCTAAATTATTCATTTATTTTCAATATAAACCCTAAAAAACTAATTGCAATAATATATTACTTTATACTTATCAATTTCAATATATAAATTTTACTTGAGAATCTTAAGAAACTTCTTGATGAAATGATATCACACTTCAGAAATACATTTATGAATGAAAATTTCAAATTATATTATTTAATAGATGACTTAAAAGTATATCCAATTGCAACTAATAGATATTTTTTCTTTTTGGATTTATTTCAAAATTCTATCATCTTGATATCTAATTTCATATATTCTTTTTCTTTATAATTATTAAATCTAGTTCTTGATCCTAGATTAATATTACGATATTATAAAAACATAAGTGAAAGTAATAATATATTAATATAGCAACAAAAATACATAAAAAAAGGAATATCAAATTATTTTATTTCTTTTTCTACCATAAATAATTCTACTAATATTAAATTGATTAAAATGATTTTTTCTCAAGTTTGTTTAAATTTGATAATAATGATCATAATAAAGATGAATTAGAAGATTAGCTTTAAAAGTCAATAAATTTACCAAAAACAGATTCTTTAAAGTAGTGAAAGGTTTTTTTTTATTAGAGAGAAACGTTTTTCGGTTCTATGTTTAAGGAAATATGAACAAAGAGACGTTCTTTATTCAATTCACATTGTAATTTTTGGATTGAATCCTAAAAATGCAATATTTCTTATAAAGAAGCAGATAATTCTAATTTAGCATCCACAATATTATCTTTGCAACTGCAAATTATTTAATGTACAAAATTAGCTTAACTAGCAAATGATCCGGCTGGGACATTTTCTTTGAATTAAGTTATACAGTATGGGACCTGGAATATATTGATCGGTTTTTTGTTTTGAAATGTTTTTGTAACTTATTAACATATTTTGTATATTAAATTCTTTGAAATTAAATTAACCAAATTAAGGATGTTGGAATATGAACGTAAACCATTAAATGCATAATTTCTCCAGAACAAAATTTTAAGAAGAAAATAATTCGAACTAAATTATCGAGAGATTTTTTTTTTAGATTTAATAAAATTAAAAATATGTTGTTGATAAGTTCATCGCAGATAGAATTAAAAATTCATGAAAATTGTTATTACTAAAATGTTTTAAATATAAATTTTATAGTTTATAAAGTACTTTCAACATTTAATCTTATAAATTGGCTAAATGCATCGCAATCCACCCAAAGTTCTATAATAGAAATGAAAACCGTAGAAATGTTGTATTTCTATGCACTTTGAACTTTTGACATCTGTAAAATATTTTGGGTTGCATACATTAGGCATTAAAATTAATTTAACCTATGAAAAATAAATTTTCGGAGCATGTACTGTACTGTAAGCGAACGTTACATAATGTCCAGTGCTTGCATCTGTGTCTGTGAAACATTTAACATGACTGGACGCTGCAAACAAATGCTTAATAATTTTTGACATACAGTAGTTCAACTTTTTTTACTAAAAAAAGTTGTTTTTCAATATTTTTAAACCTTTTTATTGAGACAAATAACTAAATGAAAGTTTTTATAGCCAGCCGTTTATAGTATTGGAAATAGCCAAATCAAATTTGTTAATGCAGGCCAAAGTTAAACCATAACAGGCTGAATTTTGATCTAGCAATTATTTATATCCGACATAATATTTTTAGTATTTTTATACGTACTAATGTTATTTACCAAGAGAATTTCAAAAGTATTTAGTAGTTAATCAATTGGATAATTGTTCGCTTTGCCAGAAACAAAAAAAAAATTTTTTTACTTTAGTAAGTCCAAATTTAACATTAACGTTAACTCAAAATAATTTTTTTTTTTTAGAGTTTTCCTTCCTTTCTACTGCAAAGCGCCTAATGATCCAGATTCCAAATATTACTAATTTTTGTCATTTACAGGCAAAAACTCGATTATATTTAACGTTAATTATTACATAAAAAATAATTAAATAAATTGACGGTAAAATAGAAGCGGATTAAAATTCTTTTTTTTCATAATAATAATTCATGTATGCTTCCGAAATTATGCAAAATAACAAACTATTTTTCCATTACCTTGATTGAATATTTTTAAATACAATACCGGTTATAAATAAATTAAACATTTATTACATAGTGACCCAACATAGGCTTCTATCGCATACTTCACCATTCAAATTATGCAAGTTTCAGATAGGATTATTTTATTATGTCTATATAAAATTGATCGCTGAAAATAAATGTATACAGTTATTCTTGGGGATTCAAAAAAAATTTTATAAATTATCGAAGAAATTATACTGCACTTCAAGAATTTCCTCTGTAAAATCAAAAGTTAAAAAAAAGTTAAGTAATGCAGAAAGATCTAATTCAGTTCTTTCTTCTTGATAAAAGTATTAGACTTTTTTATGGAGAAATTAGAACAGCATACTAAAGAGTTATAGTCACAAAATTACATCCTCAACGGTGATGATTATCTACAAAAAGACATTTATTAGAAAGAAGAAATTTATAAATTTTAAATTTAAATATTTGGGATTTGTTACAACGAGAAATTAATAAACATAAACATATTTCATATTTAACATATTCTATTTGTAATAAGAGTTTATTCTGTACAAAATCAAATATTCCTTAAAAAATAAAATACATTGTTTATCTGAAACCGTTTAAATGTTCATTTTACTTTTTATCCTTTTATGTTGTTATGCGTCCCGCCAATATAATTGCCCACCAAAAACATTCCTCTTATGTTAGAATACATAATGAATAATTTAAATTTATGCAGTGAATTTGATATGGATTGAATCCATGACAATGAATCAAAGCCAACATCTCCAATTCATTAAGTTCATTCAAAGAATCTAATAAACCACTAATGTTATTAGAACAACCAAAATCAACTTTCACAAACTGTATATTCAATAAACTATCCCTTTGAGTACTAACTAATACATCAATTATCCTATTAATACCAACATAATTAGTGGCATGCAACCTTATTTCCTTTAGATTGCTTTGATTCTCAATCATAGCTGCCAATTGATTGCAGATTTTTATTTCATGTCGATTTATCAATGAAATGTCTAAGACTTCTAATGTTTTGCATTTTTTCGAAAGGTTTTCCATGAATTTCATTAAATTCTTTAAGTGCAGATCATATCCATCGATCTTGCATATAAACGTTTTTAAATTCCATAAGGGTTGTTCATCGATCGTTCTTAACAATCTGTTCGTCGTCGAATAAGATGTTCGCTCGGACAAGCTTGGTAAATCAAGGCATAATTCGTCGGAAGAATAAAAATTAAAGCATGTTACTTGTGTGCTTTTTTCAATAAACATTGAATACAAGCATGATAATAATTTTTGTGATTGTTTATTATAATATTCCGTTTCCCAAGATTCTAAAGAATCTATATAAATGTCCAAATGTATCGAAGAATCTCGTTCGGAGTGATAATTTTCCAATATCCAACGTCGGGTAAATTGTTCAAGTACTTCGTAATCTAATTCTTGTAAATATTCTGGATAATTAATTCTTGGCAATGTCATTGCCGTAGTAGAATTTTGTTGCAAAGAAATACCTTCATTGTTTAAATATTGCTTTTGTCTTATACTTAAACAAGAAATATAAGTGTCCATTAACTTCACACCATTTGGAGTCGTCGGCATTAACGGGTCATTAAACGGTCGACTCCATAACGTCGGTACAATTATATTGCTCCAACGTTTATTTACTTGGATACATGAATAAAAATTTGAATTTGCAAGGGTTAATATATTTAATAAACATTCTTGCGGAAGGTTTTGGATTGACGACATTTATTTTTGAGGAGTTGGGATAAAATAAAAAGTGTATCTTTTTATTCTTTTTATTTATTTATTTTAATTTATTTTTTCGAGAATTAAAAAGAAAAAAAAATAAATAAATTGGTGGTCGTGGTAAAAAAAAAAAAAAAAAAAAAAACAGTTCAATTTACCTATATTTTCGTATCAAATTTTTCGTCATTATCAAAAATTTAACAATTTTCAATGTTTCACGAAAAAAAAAATCAAATCCAAAATAAAATCTCTTATCTAATAATAATGACTTATGTATATACTTCAACATTCGATAAGATACCGTCTTATTCCGAGGTTTTTTAATAGCTTCACATGATTTGTTATCAACGTGTAACATTTCATGCAGACATACAAAGTATTACAAGTTTTTTTATTTCTTATCTTATCTTTTGAAAAAGTGAAATATGATAAAGACAAAACAATTTTCTTTGTTGATTTACAGATAATGTGCTTTCCTTTTTTTTTAAGAAAAAAAAAGGTTATTTAACGGAATACCCAAACATGAAAGATTATGTACCTCGATACGTCGTCCTATTTATAGATAACGATAAAGAATATGTTAGTGGGAATTTCAAGAATTCTGGTTCATTATCGATATGTGGAAAGATGTTTACTAAACACAATCAACTGCTGTATGGATACAAATATAGAGAGGTACACGTACAATTAAAAATTCATTGTCGAATATTAAGTGCTATCGATAAAATTTTCTGACCTTTTGGTGGAGGGTTCCCAAGATCAACAAGTCACGTGCTAACTCTGCGAATTGAAAAGTGGTATAATAGGATCGTTGAATTTCGTTTCCAATAAAAACATTTTAATTTTAAATCATCTCCTTCTTTCTTTACTACAAATGACTCTAAGAAGTTTTGAATTCAATGAATTAAATTATGTCGCAGAATTTTGATTTGAGATTTTTGGCGCAGTATATATGTCAGGCCCCCTGAAATTCGTGCTTTAAACATCATATTATGTGATTGCTCACTGCAAAACGCATATTGAAATTTATTTATATTCCTTTATTATAAAAAAATCGTATTTTCAATGAATCGCATATAACGATTTATATATTTTAATATATAGTATAAAAAACAATTTTAAAAAAAAAATGGTTACACAAGTGATCGTTTTGACTGTAGCTGTTTGATGGATAATTTTATAATACATGAACGCAGTTTCGTGTTTTTTCTTTTTTTAAAAATGAAAAAATCTTTATTTAATCGTTAGATTTTTTAAGGATTTCATATTACAGCAAGTAACGTTTGTAAAGGAGATTTTGTTTTCGCAAAATGTACTTATAATTTTAAGACTTTTTGATTTTTCCGAAAATGTGCCGAAACCAATTTCATCTACAGATCCAATATTTAAAACATTCGTAAAGATTAATTTTGATCGTTAATGAAATATGCATCCGTTTTAGCTTGAACTTATTCATTATTATATAATGCTTTACGAAATTTTAAGTGATGGAGCATTACTACTCGTTTCATAAATGTAAGCCACTTAATAAATAACAAAATTTATTTTGTCCGAATTTTATTAATATCGTTAATCATGCTAGAAAAATCCTTCTAAATTCTTTTTTTATATACAGTATATAATGTTTTCTACTTATGAAACTACCATTCACTTTATTTTAGACCTCATGACTGTCTCGACCACAGAAACGTTTGCATATAAGGTAAACTATGACCGTAATTAATGGAAATTTTTATAGTTTGGGCAGTATTAAAATCTTACTCGGCTAAAAATTTGAAACGTTTATTAATTTGAATTCTGCGTTTTCTGATATTTGTGTCAAATTTGGATCAGTCGCAGAGTCGATTATTATTACAGTTTTGAGGCGCATGAATAAATTTTATTCACGATAAATTTGATAGATAATAAAGTTTTTGCTGTCGCTAATTAATATATTTTAAATAAATAAATAAATAATAATATATAAATAAATTAAAAAAATCTCGCAAATAGTTTTTTTAAGACATTAAAGGCATTGTAGTTTGAAAAATTTAAAAATAATAACGATTGCGTATTGAAAAGTAGTCAATGGACATAGAAGAGATCAATTGTATTTAGGTAAGTGTCGAAAAAAAGTAAACTTGACCAATTCTAGTCTCTAGGTTAATGACATAAGTACTGTTAGCTAATTACATCACAAAATGAGACCAAATGTAAAATTTATCAAAATTTTTTTTCGATGATTCAAAAAAAATTATTTCCTATATAAACTAAAAAAAATTTCTTTTCTCAGCACACTTAAAAATCATTTGATTATTATTACATTTGATTATTAATCACTTGGCGTATAAATGATAATACTTAGGATACCGTTCAAATTCAAACTTGAATTTTACAAACAAACATATTCCTGAATATTACGACATTTAAATTCCCAAGTTAGCGCGTTAGGTTAGCGGGTCGTTTGCTATTAAAAAATAAAACCAAATATTTGTATATTGCATGATATCTGCTTAATTATCTTGCAGTTTCTTACGAACAAGTTCACAAAAAAAACTCTTTCACGACATGCTATTGTAATTAAACTTTCATTCCTTGGGTTTAGCATCGTATATTGATGCTGGTATTCATTAGCATTCTTCTGTTGACCTTCTCGCCGGTTTTAGCACTTACTGTACGTAAAGATGATAATCGGTCTCAAGGATTTATAGTCTTTTCGGTCTTTCATTTTAAAAGACCGGACTTAAATAACCGCAGTACTCTTCAGTCTTTTGTTTTTGTGATTAAAATCAACAAACCGGCAGTCTTTTTGTAAAACTTTGGTTTTTTTTTAAAAACTGCGGTCTTCAAAAAGACTGATCAACATTATGTAATTAAGCTTAATAAATTAAGGTTTTAAAGTAATATAAATATATAAAAGATCGACAATGGGCTGAGTTTTTTTTCTTTTTACAATGACCGAAATAAATGATGAAAGCGGTTCTTCTTTGATAACAGTTGAAGAAAATGAAGCTGAAACGTTCCCTTATGATACTTTTGTTGAAAATGAAGCTTTAAATATTGATACTAGTTTTGAAGATAATATAATTTATTGTTGTAATATGTTATAAATATTTTTTTTTTTTAAAAAAAAAGACTGAATTACAAGACTAACGGTCCTTCTGATCGGTCTTTATAAATTAAAACCGCAGTCCGGTCCGTCTTTGTATAAGACTGGTGCTACAAAGACTAAGACGGGACTCTTTATCATCTTTAACTGTACGACGTGCCTCCCGTACTTTATTGGTTTTTCTCACCCTTAATTACCAAAAATTACATTTTTGGATCATATAATTTACTCCCTCGTGACTTGAATTTTTAATATCAAAATGATACGTTATTTAAATAATTCATCACATTTTTTTTATGAATATTGTATGAAGATTAAAATTATTTTAAATACGAAATTTTTGATCGTGTACAGTTCCATACTCTGGAAAAGTTATTTATTTAAATAAGAGCGTTCTCAAGCGTTTCCTTCAATGGGTTTATAAATGATCTGATTGGCTAAAAAAATGAAACAAGATTATCATTAAAATAATACCGGGAACCATTTTTTAAAAAAATTTCATTGATGGAATATAAAAAGAGATCGCTCAAACAAACACTCTTATTTTAATCTTCAACGGGACCATCACCATCGTAAATTGATCACAACACTACTTTTTATGATAGGTGTAGTAGTAGTATATTGTTTTTGTTGTTGCAATGAATGATAAATTACTTGTTAAATTAGTGAAAAGAGCCGGTGCGTGCTATTTTTTTTTTTATATTCATAATGAAATGAAATTGATAGAAAGATAAAAAGAGGTTGAGCAATGATCACATTGAGAGAGGTGATTGAGAACACCCTAAGATAAATATCTGAAAATATTAATGTGTGTAAAAGCATGAAATTATTGGTATTGTTAAAATTGTTTAAACTTCGTACATTATATAAATTAATAATGCCAAAGATGAACACTGCAATAGAAGTAATAAAATATTATCAAAATATATTTTAACGAAATTATTAAAAATAAATAAATAAATATATTGATTTACATATATAATTTTTTTTCCTCTAATAAAGTTGAATTTTCAAAACAAGTAAAATACAAAAAGACTTAACTCATTAATTAAAAGTATTTAGAAAGGTAAAAATTTAGAAGAAAAAGCTTGCTTATCTCTCAACTGGAACATATCTGAAATGTAACAAAAAAGGGCAAAAATGTTCTGCAAGTTCTGTCAAAACTTTTATCCTTATAATGAAGAAACAACTAAAAACATTATAATGAATATTTCATTATGTCCAAAAGTTACATAGCAAACTTTTATCTACAAGAAATAAAACATTTTATAAGGGCAATAATATTGACTAATTTTAATTTAAACTTTTTGTTGTATAAGTTTTTAATTTAAAAGAAATCATATTAGATCAATATTCTTAATCCACTTATAAGAACTAATAAAAAATTAGTTACATACTGGAAGAAAAAAACTTTGGAGAAATCACACTTAATTTCCAAACTCAATCAGGTTAGAATACAATACTAGTGAAAAGTGCTATTACTAATGATGAATCATACTAACATTCTTTATTTTTACATTAGTTTTACAAATGTCATTAACATCTAACTAGTATTATATAAATCCTTATGTTAATACAATTAAATGAAGTTTGAATTTAGCCTTTAACTTCCATGCATAAAATTCAATCTTCATAAAATTTTTTGTTTACAAAAATTCAAATATAGATGATGATTTAAAACTTCATGCGAAAATTCTTTACTTTGAATAAAATTATTCAAGAAATATATAAGTAATCTTATTTGGTGGTCACAATATAATGATTCCCTAACGGAAGCTTGTCCTGACATTAAAATATTCCGTCAAATGGAAATAATAAATAAACAATCCATTACATAAAACTATCAACCTTTTTATGTTCTTCAAGTTCGTTGCGCCTTCAGAGGACTAAAATTTGAACAAAACAACCTAACAAAATCTTAAACATTAAGAAATTTGCATGATTACTTAATAAATTCAACGAAATTTAACGTTTAATTCTATTTTAAAAATCAAATGGACTTTCCTAAATAAGGCATCGTCTTTGAAGATTCAATTGATTTACATATTAGGTGAATAAAATAAACTTTGGTTTTATTAACCTAAAAAAGTAACATCGATAGGATAATAATTACACGAATGTAATTTTTTTATATAAATTTTTAATATGCATGGTTTCACAAATATTCAAATATAAATATCGGTTCACTTTTGAAAATGTGTCTTATTTTCTTCATTTCACTTTCACTTCTTAAAAATATGACATCATTTCTGCCTCCAGAGTGTTTAGAAAAAATTTTTTTGATTCTGTACAATCCATTAACCGCTTCTACTAACACCGCAACAAAAGATATACACGCCTGTACATTGGTTTCTCGTTATTGGTGTAATGTTTCAACGCCACTCCTATATTCTTATCCATTTCAACATTTCGCTAACTTAAATAGTAAATCTCAACAAAAAGATGTTCAAGATTATTATAAGTTAATCAGAACATTATTAACTTGTATTCCTCAATCTGAAATAGAAGAAATTATTAATTCCAAAATATTACCCAATGAACCTATTTCTTTTTCGTTAAAAAGTTCACCAACCTTTGATTACGGTACGTTTTTTCATGGGTTACAATTAGGTTCTATATTTTCGAAAGTTCATATTGACCATGACAAAATCTGGATGCCCTCTTACATTCCCACTGACACGATTCCAATTCGTTTGACTTTTGAATTATACTACTCAATAATCAATCACCTTGTAAAATATCTAAGTGAATTTTGTAAAAATTTAACAATATTGGAGATCAAACTATTTACCTTTAATGATGAAAACGTTCAAATTAAACTTATGGAAACATTGTTAAATTCTTTTTTTGATGATTCCAAAGAAAACAAATTAACCGGGTTGAAAAGTTTATATTTCGCAATTTCTGGAAATGCTGGAACTCAACTTATGACTAAAGAAGTATCAAATTTATCAAAATTCTACGCTAATCTTTCCTCATTTACCAAAAACCTTGAATCACTTCATAACGGTAAAATCATTTCTCTTGAACAAGCTAATGCACTATCCTCACTAATCTCTTCACAAAAGAGATTAAAATCTATCACCTTATCACAAGAAGATTTTTTTTATAGTTTTACTAGAACTCATAATATTCAAGTATTTGAATTTTATAATGTCGTGTTTAATACATTAAGGACGCAAAGTGCTTGGTTGGAGAAATTGGAATTTACTTTGTTATCTTTTCAATATCTCGATCAAGAATCTTTAGATTCGCTATGCTCACTTAAGAATCTTAAAGAATTGAAAATAATGAAGTGCAAATTTCTTGATAAATTAAAGGTTTGGACGACACATTCACATTTGTCGGGGCTTCAAGTTCTTGAATTTACACCAGATAATTATACTCAATTACATGTTGACGGAGATTGGTTAAATAAAATCTTTCAATTTACTTCAAGTAGTTTAAAAAAATTAATACTAGATTTTAAAAGAGAAATCGATCAAGGATTCCAATTAATTAGACTAATTTCCCTTCATTTACATTCTTTAAATTATTTAGTACTCCCAAAATTATATCCGACCGAATTGATCACTATATTAAAATCATGTATAGAATTGGTTTATCTTAGTACTGGGCTATTAGAAGGTGGACAGTGGGATCAAAATTTACCAAGCATAAGCAAATTTATTCCTAATAGCGTAGAAAAAATTCAATTTAGAGAGATACATTTTTTGGTGGACAATAGAACATTTGAACTATTTTTAAAAGGGTGTATAAATAAAGGTGTGAAATTACAATCTTTAGAAATGACTGGGAAGAAAAAGTTGGATCAAAAATATTATGATATTGCAAATCAATTCGGTGTGAAATTAATTAGCTAGGCTATTTGACGAATCAAAGATTGTTTTAACTTAATAAACTTTTTTTTTTTTGATTATAAAGTTAAAATAGTTAAATCGAGTATATAGAAACCGATGTAACGTAAATTCATGAAAATTTTAGTTAAGTCAAATTTGACTTTATTAGACTAAATATTTTATATTAAATTTATTATTAATGGAAATTGTTCAATGTGTTGATAATATTAATTAACGCGATCTGGCGTTCACCAATATAAAAGTCACCCTAAACTGTTGTAGAATTCTTTTTTTCAATATGTGCGAAAATGTTAAGATCTATAAAAAAAGAAAAATCTTGTAAGTTTGATTTTTAAACCACTAGAAATGAAAACTTTCGGTTCTATGTTAATTAATCTCATGTGTCCAATTCTTCTTTTTGATATATATTTATTTTTAAAATATTTATCTGGTTTATCGAGTAGCTTAGCTGTCTTCCTTTACAAATGAGTTCTTTCATGTAACCATTGCATCAAATCCATAGCTCTATTGAATAGTGGAATTTAGAAAAGTAAATTTCTAAAGAATAATTATTTTAATATTATACAATAATTACCTATCGATACAAAATATTGTTTATATTTCAAAAAAACATATTAGTCAAACAAATTATAGAAATCCTTTATTTTTTCTGACCCCTCTTAAAATATGATGTTAATTATATATATATATATATATTAATTTTATAAAATAATCCTTGAAAAACTACTGTATATTGAGAATATAATTATTGCCTTTTATTTTTTATTTTAAATATACAGTATATTATAATTCACCTATTACAAGTTTGGATGTGATCTCATTATGTAATATATTAAAAACCATTAATGCATCTGAATTAGATCAAATAAAGCAATGCAAATTTTTAATTTAAAAATTTTACAAAAAAACAGCTGATTACTAAATAATATGATTCTATAATATTAATACCTTTTATAAATTTAAATAAATATGCTTCTCAAAATTCTCAAAATTAAGTTTTTTTAAGAAATTTTTAAAAACAATTTAGTTTTTAAATTAAGTTTTAAAAAATTTATTATCTTAATTATTTATAAATTCTTTAAATTTCATATGTTTACATACAAATTGAATCATAAAATTTATTATAAAAATTATAATAATAAAAGTTTTTCTTAATGATAAATTTATAATATTATATATTTTTAATATAACTAAATGTAAATTTTTAATATGATTATTATAAACTAATCATAAAATATTTATTTTACAAATCACAAATTTTTAGCTTATAATTAATGGTTATCTAAACTAAAATTCCATAGTTTAGACTTATTATGACTGATTTAGTTAATAATTTAGTATAGTATTCTTACTTCTAAATATATAATTAAAAAATAAATATTATTATAATATACTATATATTTAAAATTAATTAAAATTATTTTAATTTTTTAAAATAAATCAAAAGAAAATTTGTAATAAATAAGCAGAAATTTTACTTATAAACTTATATAATCCAAAAAATCATATTTTATAATTTATAGATTCATAATATCTTCAATAATTTATAAATAAATATTTTATCATATTATAGCTTAATAAACTTAGAATACTTTAATTATAATACTTTAAAAATATTTAGATATATAGTATAAATCAAAGATACCTCTTTAAACTATTTTAAAAAATTCAAGTTTTAAGATATTTGTGATTAAACTATTTGTTTATAATAAATATTTTACCTAAACTTCTAATAGGTTTCTTAAACTCAATTAAGTTTAATCAAATTTCAGAAATTTCAGATTTAAAAAAAATCATTTTAAAGGTTTCAAATAAGTTTTTAAATTTTTTAAGCTACATATTAAAAATAAATTTTAAATAGTATTATTATTATAAATAAATATTTTGTTATATAATATATTATAAGGATTAGTAATACCTATCTAAACTCTTTTTTGAAAAATTTGTAGTTTTATCAAAAGGATTGGTTTCTTGAATATTTTTATATGAATAAATATAAAATTATTATATAAGAAACAAATCAAGTTAAATATAATTTTAGCATCAAGTAAAACAGTTTCGTTATTAATAAAAAACTAGTTTATTCATTTTAGTTTTGTCAATTTTATCATATTAAAAAAGGTAATTTTATCAGATATTACTAATAAGGATAAATTAATTTTTTAAAAAAATATAAGTAAAATAATAATAATAAATAATATACAATTAACTCAGATATAATAAATCTTATCTTAAGATCTGAATCTCAACTTCTTTATAAAATTATAACAAATTTTTTTAATTAATTAATTTATTAAAATAAAATATATTTAATATTTTAATTAGTTAAATATTAAAAATTCATTATATTAATTTTTGATATATCAAAGTTTCACTGTATATTTTATTATATAATATAACTTAAATCTATAATTATCTAATAATTTTATTAAATATTAATAATTATTTAAAAAATAAAAATTAAATTTATTTAATATTAATAATTTAATAATAATATTTTATTATTATCATTTATTTTTTAATAAAATATTAAAGTAAATCATAATTTAGAATAAAATTATAATATTTTATAAAGTTCTAAAATTTAATTATAAAAAAAAATTATTTTATAATTAAATTTATTATATTATTTAATAAATTTTAAATGATATTAATATTTATTATTTATTAATATTTATAATATTTTAAATTTTATAATAAAAGTTTTAATTTATCTTTTATATTTAAATTTATTATAAAATATTTTAAAATTTTATGATTATTATATTATAATATAAAATAAATATTAGAAAAAATAATTTTTAAAAGTTTACAAAATTTATTTTTTATAATTTTTAATCATTTGGATTATAAGTTAGAAAAATGAGATTCTAAAATTTTTTAACCAAATTAAAAATTTTATTTTATATTAATATTGGATATATGAAAGCTTTGTAATAGAAAGATACAATATGCTAAAAAATTTTTTAATTAAATTTTTATAGCATATTAACTTATTATTTTGGATATTACTCTGTCAATTATTTTATTAAAATAAAAAAATATTCTTCAAAGAAAATAAAAGAAATTACAAGTAATAAAAATAAAATAAAATAATAACTATCAAAAAATCTAGATTAAAAATATTAGCTATCTTCTGATAATAGAAATATAAAAATAAATCCATCCATTTAGATTGATCTATTTACTAGTTGAAATAATCCATTTTGTCACTTTTTTAAAATGTTGAATGTCAGCTGAAATATAGTCTAATTTCTGCCGATTATTTGCCAAAAAAAATCAGCATTTTGGTTATAGTTGAAGTTGTTTAATACAACTGTCAATCATATCTTGAATCGTTAAAACTGAGCTAGATGTCTAAAGCAAAAGATTTCCAACATAGAGCGAATGCCTTTAAGAGATTGGTCAGATTCCCACATATGATTGTGATTCAGCATGGGTCTGGTTTTGTTTCTACATCAATTAAACATATTCTTTCTAGAGAAATCAGATCGTCTTTTCAGTGTAGGATCATGCAGATTATAAAAACTTAGGACGTATTATTTTTCGTTTCTGAAAAGTTTCCTGATCCATGTGAATCATATGTTTTTATATCTCATGTTAGAACAAATGCTCAATCGAGGGTAAAGAGAGAAGATGTATAAATTTTATAAAGTGGTTCGAAATTATCTATAGAGCAAAAGTTATCAATTTGAACATAAAATGTATGTGGGCAGTGATGGGATTTCACATAATAAGATGCACTGAAATTATATCTATAATCACTTATTAATCCTCACCCAGAAAGTGGTCTTCGATACTCTCTTGCAACTTTATGATAATATGTGCCTATATCGTCTGAAGCTGTCTCTATTTTACATTCAAGATCAACCTTTGAATTATAGCTTAAGATGATATCGAGAGTAGTGAATCTTAGATCTTTATTGGATGTAATAATACAGAGATATGACTTTTTTTCTGCATGATAACCACGGATAGGATATGCCTTTATATATTCTATCTGGATTAGATTCATGTTAACAGTGTTTTCACTACCATCTTTCCCAGTTGCAAGGATACCTTTTATTTTAGACCAGAATTTGGGAATGCTCATATTGTTAGGAATACAAATATCGAAAAATACCTTGATACCGGTAATAGTTACAACTGCTTTTTGACTATTAACAAGATACCCATAGAGGCGAAGAATATAGTGGGAGGTATCATAGATATACTCTTTAGATTCTTCTATATCAACCGGCATGAATGGGATATCTCGATAATTTGCTATCTCATCTTTGAGAATTAAAGTTGAACTCTCATCATTTCTCATAGCCAATTCATCATGAGATGGGACACCCACCAAGTAATTCCAGTCGGAATAACGAATTATTTTAGCATTTTTATCTTTTTCAGCCTTTGGGTGAAAAAGTGAAGCGGGGGTATCGAGGAACTCTGAAAGCTCAGATTGTGTTATAGTAAAAATTTTCGGATATATTATTTAGTATACCGTTTCAGTATAATACCCCAACAAAAAAGTTTAAAATAAAATAAATAATTATAGATATCAAAGTGTTATTTATCTAAGAATAATATCAATAGGCGGTAAATATATTTGCCAGTATCATTCCAATGAAAGGGAGGTTTGTTAACAGGAAAGTAGAAAACTAGAAGGGTGTTATATTTACTGGAAAAGGCGCCAGTGACCTCTATGCAAACAAGATAGATGTGAAAGACCAACAGCTTCTGAATATGGATTTTGTGATTGGCATGTAAAAAAGTATCACTTGAATGCATATTATCATCGGAAAAGGTTGGATAAGATGTTTCAGAACTGTTAGACCCCAGAGGCAATGAGATAGGTTCTCGATAGAATGAAAATGCCTAATGCTATAAATTGGTCTTAATGACTTATCAAAAATTTGGCTTCATGAAAAATTTATAGGGACGGCAAAAAAACTTAACAAGAACGCGTTAATATAGCAAACTGGCAATTTTAGAACTCTCAGAAGGCAATTTACTACTTGTCCTTAAGAGCCTTAAGAGCCCTAAGAAATTTTGAACTCTTTACCTTTTTTTTATTTTTTTTTATATCATATATTGACGATATACATGACTATATATATCTAAGTGGTATACCAAAGAAAAATTTTGATTTTTTTTTTCTAGAATTTTAAAATTCTTAGGGTTGATAGGGTTCTTAAGGACAGATAATAAAGAATTCAATAAAACAAGCTAAGAAGCCCAAAAATGATATCAAGATTATCCCCAAGAGCGTTCTTAAGAAAATTTGGTATTAATTTTATAAGGACAGCAAAAAAATAGCATACTCATCGCCTCAACCCAATTTAAACCATATCAGGCCTCAGAAGTGCTTAGAATATTCTGCCAATATGCTGACAACAAATAGGCAATAGTTAGATTGCAAGATGATGCACTTCTAGTAATCAAATGGGAGAAAAAAGACGCAGAAATTAACAATAATATCAGCCAACACTATTCTATAATTTCAGCTGGAACTTTGAGTATAATAACTCAACAACCAAGCTGACATATAAGTGGACTAAAACTGGTGAATAAATGGAACCTCTCAGGCACCCAGCCAGTTTCCTACCAGTTCTTCAACAGTTTTATGATAGTTCTATGACAGCTCTACAGTAGTTCCAAGATAATATCAAGTCATTATCATGACGCTAAGCTGGATCCCCAAATCACATGACCAAAAAATCGGCCATAGTTATACCATAGAGCCAGCCAAAATTAATCGCAAATCTATCACACCACCCGACACGATTTTTTTACCACAATTTGGTATTTTAAGAGGCAACCAAATAGGCGCAAAAAAGAAGCATCCTTGATATATTAACAGGCCACCAAACAGGCCTAAAAGCAGGTAAACAAATAGATAGCTCTTTAGGAGTAAAAGGAATGCAGAGTAATGTAAATACATGAATAGTTTTTGATAAAAGAAAGGCTATAGATAAGCGGAAAAATACACTCTATCAGATTATGCCACCACCGTTAGATTATATATTAATCACACTAATAGATCATATCACTACCGACCTATCATAATACTATATAGCAGGAATTAAATAAAATAATAGTTAGAAAGCTGTAAAGATAACCAAACTATAGGTTATGAAACCACTTATAGATTATCTCACCACATTAGATTATAACATCAGGTCATGACACAACTACTAGATCGTGACATTAGATCATACCACTACTATTAGATTATATCATCACCATTAGATTATATAAAGACTATCATAACTATTAGATTATATCACCACTAATAGATTATGTCACTACCATTAGATTATATTACCACCATTAGATTACATAACCTATTTTAACTCACCGGAGATTATTTGATATAATTATATCAAATAACCTCTGACGAGTTAGTAGTATTAGCTGTTAGAATCTAAGTTGATGACTGAGTTAATTCTGTAAAATCAAGTAGAATTAACTCTGAAATTTTCAAATAATTAAGCTGTAATTGAGTTGCTTTTTCAAATTAGATATTATGTCATTATATTATGAAATTCTTAATTAAATGAACATTACAAATTTTTAGTTGAAAGGGATTCTGAAAACTTTATTTATGATTAAACTTATAATTATCTAATTTTTGCAACAATAATTTAATTATAAATATTTTGTTAAATATTAAGATATTAATAATATAATTATGATCACTAATTTCAAATGAAAGTCATGATTCAGCCAATGGCTAAATCAACTGAAGATTATCTAACAGCTAACTGAGCTAATTCCAATATTTGTATCAGCTAATACTACTATATCTAACACAATATTAATCAGGTTTTAGTAGTTTAAGATAAGATAATATAATGTAGATATTTATCCATAAAAATTTTTGTTATAAAGAATCAAAGCTTTTCTTTTGTAAAAGATTCTTTGATAAAAAGAAGTTGAGAAAGAAAATTTAATAATAGGAAAAAAATAATTAAACAGTATTTTAATGAATTTTTAATTAATAAATAAGTTATTTGAGATTCTTATTTCTCTATAAATCTAGAATAAAGAAAAGTTATAAGCATTAAAAAGATTTTTTAAAAAATAATATATTGAGTATTTTATAGTAATATTATTAAATTAGAATAAGATATTAATAGAGTGAATTTTTAAATAATTAATCAATAAGAATGGTAATTGTAATCTATAATATTATTATAAATATTATTATTATAATCTTTAACTTTGACAAATGTAATAGTAAGATTTAATTGATCTATTATAAATTTAATTATCAATCAAAGAGTATAATTAGAAATTTTTCATTTGTATAAATAGAAAAGTTGTTATATCATTTAATTGTAATAATCTACCAAAATTGTATATTAATAACACTAAATTTTTTTCCATTAATTTGTTTATATAAAGTTATATAAGTTTGATTTTAAAGGATAACATATTTTCTTTTTTAATCTTGTTAATTTATGTTTGAGTTAATATAAGAAAGAAAATAAAATTAAAATCTAATCTATAATTTCATTTAAGAGATCTATTTAAAAGATTATGAATAACTAAATCAAAATAAGATTATTTAAGAAGTAAGTATTATAATAAGTTATTAAATTAAATAGAATTTTTTTATCATAAGTTATTTTATGTAATTAAATATTAACTATTTAATGAAATAAGTTGATCTAGATAAATTTTCTAATAAAAGTCATCTTTGATAATTTAAAATTAACTTTTATTAGAATTTTTTAATATAATAATTCAAATGTAATCTTTATTGGGTTTTTTTTAATAAAGGTCTAAAATTTGAAAACATTATTATTAACTGAAACTTTGAATTTATCTGAAATTTTCAATATATTTCAGATTTTTTTCTGTTCAAATTGAATTATAATCTGAAAAAATTTGATTTGATCTGAATTTTTTCAGATTATTATTTATAATCTAAACTAAAGATAATGCTGCAATTACTAAAAAAATGTCACAATTGTATTGTAACTCATATTGCAATTAAATTTATTAATCTGAACTAAACTAAACTAAAAAATTTATATTAATCTAAACTATTCAGTACTTTGATAGTATTATCTTTAATATATTTATATCTAAAATTATTGAATTAGTCTTTTGTTAAAGAGATTATATAGGAAGTTTGTTAAAAAAATGGGTTTTGAAAATTTTTTAATAAAATTAAAAAAATTCTCAGCCTCATTTTTCTAGCAAATCTTCTATATTAACTGTGTTTTTTGATTATTATTATCATTTTTTGAATTAAAAATAATAAAAAAAAAATAGTATAATATAAAAATATTTTTAATTTCAAAAAGTTTGGAAAGTATCTGATCATCTCTTTATCTAAAAAGAAATAATAAAGCCCTATTTATGGGATTTTTAGTTAAAATGAAATTATAAATTTTTTATTTTTCTTGAAAATATGATTAAGGAATGGTTAGTAACTCAAGCCTATCATATAATATGATAATACCAATTTTAATCACCTTTTTTAAAATTGCAGTTTCAAATTATGATGATGATAGCTTTATTAAAAATTTTCACCTTTTCTCTTTATATTTTTTGTATTTTCTCTTTTAGAATATGAGACTATAATGATCAATCATAGAAGCAACTTATAAAAATAATATCTCGAAATTTTGGTTATAAAAAAAGAAAAAATTAATCGTATATTATTAAAATTGATTAAACTTATGTTTATTTTTTGTATATTTTAAGAAATAACTTGCAGTTTTAAAGTTATATTATCCATTATTACATTATTCAATGAATTTTTTCTGAAAATTTCAACTGTTTCGGTTTCTCTACCGGAATAAGTCACATGATTTGAATCTTTATGTCGCATGAAAAATGATAGCTGGTTTGCATAGTATGACAAATAATGAGTGAAATAAGAATTTTTTCTCATAAAAAAGATTCTCAGTCCCCAGAAATAATTATAAAATTGAATAGTCGGTGATTGCCGTGTGACAATACCTAAAATTAATCCCTTATCCTAAACCTAATACTTAATCCTAACCTAACCGGCTTATGGATTAATAAGGAAAAGCAGACAAAGAGTGATTATAGAATTAATTAGGAAATGATTACAAACCAATTAACCAATTAAATTGTGCGATCATCAAATTATCATATTTTCTAATTTTTTGACAATAAAATACGAAATACTCATGTTCGATTGTCCTATCGGGATTATTACGCCTAACTATTCCATGGAAAAGTGGTAATGTAATGGAATTTGCCGAGATCTAGATGAAATGACCTTTAAATCATTCATTCAATGAGAAGACTTATCAACATTTATCAGATTAGAAAGGTTCGAAATGGAATTGGAAAGGCTTAGTAAAGTTATATATATTTTTTTTTAAAAACCAAAAAAGACTAGGAACGGTAAGAATCATTACACCAAGCTCAACATACAACTGCAAGAGGTGAATAAGACCAATAAAAAAAATTGCATTTTAACCCAATTTGGAAAGTTTCTTGTAAATGATTGTTTATTTTTTATGCGGGGATGGTTCATTCCAAATATATAAATTCCATTGTTTTTATTAAAAAATGTCGTTATATACTTGTTTTGTGTGCCTTATTTAGAAATTAAATATTCGAGAATTTATTGAATCCGGTATAATTGTATTATATAATTGTCTAATTTGTCGAAAAGGAAAATGAAAAGAATGAATCGAACTTTCTCTGAAGTAGTTTGTATAACAAACCGAAGGTGAATTTTATATTATTGCCATTACAGGTTGTGAAATATTGATTAAATGATATATACTATCAATTAACTTTCTTTATAAAAGAGCAAGAGAAATTCCTATAAATGTTGTCGAAAAATTACTCAATATCCTTCAAAAATTCAAAAATGTCACTAAAAAATAATGCAATGTTTGATGATTTCTATAAAAATCCTCAAAAAATGTCAAGTTTATCTTTTGAAGAATTAACCAAATTGGCAGATTTAGCAGTAATTCCAAATCCCAATAATAAATCTCCCTCTTTCATAACTTCTAATAAAACTGTCACCGAAAAAACAATTCTCAATAATGTTCCTTTAGAAAAACTAATGAACTTTATTTCTTCCACTCAAAATTTTAATGTTGGTGATAAAATTTAAAGTTAAGGTCTTTGAGTTTTTGGCGGCAACTTTTCTAAATCTTATATAATTTTTAATTGACAAAATCATTATTATTGGGCGTTTGCTATTAAAATCACGTTACTGATTCGTAACTCGATTTTAATAGCAAATGACCCTTCTTATTTATTCTTTGGCAAAATTGGCGATGCAAGTATTAAACATAATTTTTAATTGGCAAAATCGTTTATTATTATTTCTTTGGCAAAATTGGCGATACAAATATTAAACGTATTTCTTAATTGGCAAAATCATCATTATTTTTTTCGCGATAGCAAATTTATTACTTTCGAAATTACTCTATATAGGTTTAAATTATGTATTTTAAGATTAAGATTTATAAATTTATGTATAATTTACAATAATTTTCGTATTTTTTTTTTATATGTAGTTTCTAATTAAATACTATATCACGTGAATATTATAATAAAATCCTATTTTGACGTCACTCACAATCTAATTGACCAGAATTAAGAAATTTAAACAAGTATCATGAATGATAATAAATTACGCTCATAACGTCGAACGGATCCGCTTATAATTAATTGATATTCAAATCAAATTTCGATATTCGAATATAGCCATAATTTTCAATCAGGAGATTCGAATGTTTTCGAATATTCGAATCTCTGAATTTTGAACGCCATGGATTATTATTTATTTTATTGGATCTAATTCTAAATCGTCTATATACTGTATATAATAAAATGTTTAATTTCGGTTACACTATGTAAAAATAAATCACCATTTTAGCAAATTCTCAGTATTGAAAACTTGATTATAGGGAAAACCGATTTTGAGATCAGTACTTATTTAATTTTTATTAAGGTATTTTTTTATTTTTTTATTTTTTTTGAAAAAAAAAAATTTTTTTTATTAAGACGATCCTAGTATAGAATGCTCACTATTAATATCATTGAGATCATTAACATAGGGTAGGGTATATAGAAAATCGTTATACAGTATATACGTACAATAATAGAAAGTACCGTACCGTACTGGTCTCAATAAGTACGATCAAAATTTGGAATATCGTACCGTACTGATCAGCTGAATACTCCCCAAAACTTTTTGGTATATTAGATTTTAAATGAGTTTACTACCCACTTTTTTTTTTTTTAAAAAAAAAAAAAAAAAAAAAAATTTTAAATGAATTATCAACTATACAATATAGATTTATTTGATGAACTTTGATTATAAATAACGAAAAAATTATTCTCATTAAATTTACTCCAATTTTAATATAATTTAGCTAAACTAAATCATAAACTTATCCTCTTATACTTTCTGCAATTATTGATCCATCAAAGCTTTATCCCAGACAATATCAAGATCCGAGAAATAATTATCGCCAATCTCAATGACCAGAATATATCTTGAAGGCGTATGAAGAGTTCTTTCGATTACGTTAACATTAATTTTTAAACCATTACCATTAGGGTCAAGAAATTTCATTAAATTATGTTTAATCTTCACTTGAAATTTTTGCAAGATATTATATCCATTTCCGACAAATGGTTTAATCAATTCTCTAATTTCTTTGTTATCTTGAACACTTGGAGGCATCATTTCAAATTTTGATTTATCAGATGAAGGAAACTTAATTTCAATCCTACTCTCCAAGTTAAATCTTAATAAATAAATTAAATATTTTACCATTTTCAAAAAACTTCGAAGTATTAAAACGGCAGGATCTAACTCATTTTCGATTGAAAAGAATGTGGAAAGGATATAATTTGATGAGCGTAATTTAATATATTCTGGTATAGGAATTTGAAAGAAATCACATTCTATAATTAATTCTTCACACGAAATATTTGGCGAATTGTTATTATTGTCTTGTAATGAATAACCTGGCCATATTAACTTTCCTGTGCGATAATATTCTAGGATGTAATGAAATGCTTTACTATTGCGATCAAAGAAATATTCATTTCCCTTCTTTGGATCAAGTAAAACTTTATTACGCTGTTGAAACATCGTTCCTAGTAAAGTTTCCGGATACCTCGTTAACGTTGTTCGATATGTTTCATACTATTAAGCATTAAATTACATTTCGAACTTTAAATTTTTTAAATTTGTAACAACAATCAATATTGCATAATTAGGGAACTCTAACCTTTTCCCCTCCAATATTTAATATTATTCTTTCATTATTATCCGTAATGTAATATTGAGATGAATTTTCCATTACAAAAAAAAATTTTTTTTAATTGTTGATCTTTGGGAAAATGTGTTTATAATACAACATTTGTGTAATAAAGTATCTAAACTTGGTAATAGATTACGCAATTATTTATTTACAAAAAAAAAAAGAAATTACTTAATTAGATAAAGTAATGATGGATAAAAATTAAATATAGTAATATACTAGTTCTATTCAAATTTTCGATTTATGTTTGGAATTTACTTTTGCATTCTTAGTACTAGAGATTCGACCTTCAGATTTAAATCTAGTTTCTCCCGGTTTTGATTTAAAACCGGATATATAATCCTAATTTAAATATGAAAAATGTCTAATATCGAATCCAATATTTCTGATCCTACCTATCTGCCTTTAAACCACCCTAATCGTAAGTAACGTAAAAATCAATTTATAATAATCATAGGATCAACAAAAGTATCTTTTCTAAACAAATGTTATGATTTTGGATTCAAAACCTAAAATTAGGCAAGATATTAATATATCATTTCTTGTATCTTTTTATTTCAATGCTAGCAGTTAAAGCATTTTCGGATGCAATAAATCCGGTGCATGGATTACATACGGATAAGACACGATCTTGGAATGTTTTATTAATAAATATTTGAAATGGAAATACAATCTTAATAATCGATTAATTACTGAAGGTTCTCAAATTTTTTTTTTTTAAAAAAAAAAACCCAATAATAAACAATGATTCTTTTAAGACAATTAAACTCAAAAACATCAAAAATGGAAACCAAAAAAGAATTTAATTAGAATTCTACGAAATCCTTCTGTTTGTTTATCTAACGATCACAGTCAAATTGTCATTATGGGAATAACTCAAAAAAAAAAAAAGAGAAATAGAGAGAGAACCATTTGAGGATGTGGCTTTACGACATTATTCTTAAATTTATTATTCATAGTATAATTTTTGTAATAACATAATCATAAAATAACGGAAATATTCATTTCCTGAATTTTGTCTAAAAATTAAACAATTTTGTTAAATTAGGAATATAAAACTACTATAAAAATAGTTATACTAATGAAATAACTTTCAAAGTGAAATCTGTCTAATCTGTCTTAAAATTAAAATCTTGGAAATTAAAACTTATTCATAACGTAAAACACAAATATATTTCTCAAATATATTAGGGTTGCGAAACATGATTTTGAGTATAATACCTACTATCATCCTGTTGAAGAGTAGAATAGGGAAGAGTATTTGCATTACTTTCCTGAAAATGATTGAGGATATTAACATTGGAATTAATCTGTTTGGATGAAAAATAATGAGCCAAATCATTTCTTAAGTGTAATTTAAGATTTTCAAAGTGTTGTCTAGAAACTTCTAGTTGCTGTTCAATCTGATTAAATTCTATACCATAAATATTACGGTTTAAAAACTGAATCGCAAACGTATGTGAAATAATTTCACAGGTTACTTTATAAATTTTCTTCGTTACAGTTTGTTCATGATAGAACACATAAATCTTGTAATTAGAAATATTATCAGTATTATTTATCATCTGAGAGAAAGTATCAAAGGACACTTGTACTTCTTCACATTTGATATGGTGAGGATGATTGTTGAAGTAATAATAGAACGAGAAAATGGAAATGGTTGAATCATCTGCTTGATTCATCGCCTGATTTACTTCATTCATATAGAATGGCTCTGTACTACGTGGTGCTGCCATAGGCGCTTGAGACGTAACATTAACGATTTGGTCGTCGTCCCGTCCGTGGTTCAAATTGTTAAAAGTAGTATCAATTTGAGAACTTTGTGGAGAATAAATGCTTGTATTGATGTTTTCTTGATACATTTTGAAACGTTTATGAAAAAAAAAGATGAATATCTTGTCCTGTGTATTTATTCTTTTTTTTTTGCATCTTTTTGGGGTTTATAAATCTTTCTTTCGGGGTAGGGATCTAATTTATACAATATAATGTAAAATTAACTTGACAATTAATAAAATAAATAAAAATAACATAAAATATTGGTTCACAAATATATATATTGTTTTTGAGACTCTGTGACTTGAAACAAAGAATAATTTGAAAACTGTATAACAAAATCATTTATGCACACTTTGTTTGTATACAAAAATGGAAAATATAAATTTATACATTAAATTTTATGAATGTCAAGTGATAACAAAATCATGTTTGTTATTTACCATACGTTTTGATGCTTTGTTATTTGATATATATATCTATTTTTGTCAGAGGAAGGCCTTCTCAAATGTTGATTTTTTCTAATGGTTTATCCAACTTAAAAAATATATATATCTGAACAAGTATATGCCTTTAGATTAATGGATTTCGTCGAATTCTAATAAAATCCTTTTTTGATTTTATTTTTTTTGTTTAAAAAAAAACTTGGTATATTTTATTATCGATCCTTCAGATCAGATTGCATTTTCCATTCCAAAAATATTTAGTTATTCACATTCCAAGAATCGTAATCGAAAATTTGAATAAACTAGTATATTACTAGATATCTAATTAAGTAATTTCTTTTTTTTGTAAATAAATAATTGCGTAATCTATTACCAAGCTTAGATACTTTATTACACAAATGTTGTATTATAAACTCATTTTCCCAAAGATCATCAATTAAAAAAAAATTTTTTTTGTAATGGAAAATTCATCTCAATAATATTACATTACGGAAAATAATTATTAAATATTGGGAAAAACTTAACGAGCCCAAAAACAATGTGCGACATAAAAAGCAAAATAAAATATGTAGTGGTTTTGTTTTGTTTCAATGTCTAAGTTTCTTGGTTTAGCAGTTCATTTCAGAACAATCTGTGCAACTCGATACCTTTTGGATGAAGCGTTACATGTGTGACCAAATATTTTTTTTTATCCCGTTTTGAATAAAATTGCTTTGAGAAGGTCTTACAACGGTCCTTACTGAAGTATCTAGAAGATTTCAAAAAAAAAAAAAACTTATCATGCCCGGTTGTCGTGTACAATGAATGGTTGGACAAGTCTTAAGATAGATACTTGTCCCGTTTACTAATTTTTTTTATAATCAAATATTTAGGACATGCAGGGAACCTTTCTAAAGTAACCAACTGGAAGACGACCACACAAAAAAATATGATAGTCTTCCATTAATTTTCATTTCATTTTTTTTTTTTTTTAAAAAAAAAATAGATTTTAAGTCTCAGACAACAAAAATATCTGATATTTGTTTCATTGCATGTATTCAATAAATTAATGGAAGTCTAAGCATAAATCAAAGGAGTTTGTATTATTGTAATGTATAAATTTTTTAGATGGAACCTTTGCAATAGAAAGGGCCAGGAAATTTAAAGAGACGAGTAATAATAATAATAAAAATCTAATCATTTCAATTTCTCTCAAGATAAATGAGACACTTTCTATTTGTGAATATTTGCAACCTCGAGTGCGAGCGATAACTTAAGCAAAATGGAATGACCTTTTTTAACAAGATAAAAGACGGAACCTTGCGTCGTTTCCAAAACATACTTAAAACGTGAAACAAATGAATTGTTGTTAAATAATCTTTTATATCACATTAAGTTTTAGACAGAAAGAATTACTGTCATCACGGCTTAAAATTAGCGTTTGGTAAAAGTGTTGAACAAAAAAGTCTAAAAGTATAATTACTGCATTATAGATTTTATTTTACGTGACAATTGCTAACAAACTTTAGCTGAATCAACAACTAGCATAAAATTCTTAAGGATTTAATAAATTCAGAAATTTTGCCAACGAAAAACAATTACATATATCTTATTTTTAAAGCAAATCTTAATGTCCATACTTAAATACATAATAAACGAAGAAATACCGTTATTCCGATTTTGCCGAAAAAAGAATTATAAATATTAGTTTAAGAAATCATATTCTAATTCGTAAAGAACTTTGTTAAAAGTAAATATTCGTTCTCATTATTACCAAGAAATTTTCATTCTCAGTTATTCAAATTTCGAAAATTAAAAATTAATAATAAATTTAAAAGATTAAATAAAAATCGTTACGTCTTGAAAAAATTAAAATTAAAATTAATAATAATGATAATATAATATATGTGATGGGTTGTAAAAAATTAGTTTTAATTCAATAAAATTATTGAGAAATATTTTCATTTTCATTTTTGTTATAAGGGGTAGAAGATGAGTTTTTATCCTCAATGAAATTTTGAATTGTAAACTTTCCTAACTTTTCTAATTCATCTAAAGTAAAATTGGCCAAATCGTATTCAATTTCGCAAGGAATATTGTTAAGAGTAAATTTTGCGTTATATATTGAGAACTTTTCAGTCTTCTTTTTTTGATTGTTATATAAATTGTCAACGAGTTCTTCTATTTTATTGACTTTATTAGAAAATAATTTGACACAATTGTCGGTTTCCTTGCAATCAAGACAAAATTTTGGAGGTTTTCTTCTAGCACTTTTATTATCATTATTGAGATTGATCTTTCGAACATACGGTATCATACGTGATTTTTTTTCATAATTTTTGTTTAGCATCGTGAAAAGAAGAAATTTTAAAGATTGTTATAATAGAAAAGAAGCCATTTAAATAATAAGTTATTTGCACATAGAAAACTCATATCGGAAAAACAAATACAATTTTAAATTTGTATACATTAAATAAATTAGGTATGTATATTAAGGAACTTTATATGGTAAATTTTTAGAGGCTATTAGCTTATTTAAAAGGCAAGCAATTAAGGAGGATACTTATTCAATCAAAAAATTTAAAAAGGCAGTTAATAGAGGGTTTTAAGGGTAATACTTATACCGAAAAAAAAAATTTTTATTTATAAAATAATTTCATTTTCATTTTGATGATGGTGCTCTAAATAACACCAAATATTTGTTGCATTTGAATCACCAATTTTGCGGCGCCATGTTTCATTGGGGTGTTCGGTCAACATAGTTTAACAAAACTATATCAAGTTCTATAGTAAATTTTACTGACGAATTTTTTTTGTGTTACATAAAATATAATGTGTCCGAAACTGGAATTACTTTCGAAAGCTGAAATTTAATTTCCGGTTCATAAATTAAATATATAATATTATGATATTATACAATATTATAACTCACATATTATTAAACATTTGTGCGATACTAAAGATTTAAACAAGTGCATTATAACTTCAAGAAACTTGAAATACCTCGTTTTTTTGTAAATTTCAGAGAGAAAAAATTTTTTCCTATAAAGCTATCCTCGAAGGTATCATTTTTGTTGTAAAAATGGATTTATTATTTTTTTTAAAAAAAAAAGCAAGGTATTTTATGAAAGAGATAGCCGTTCAAAACAATTTAACAGAATTTGGAGTGGGGATGAGAAGAAGGTTCGATGTTATTAGAGTATAAAGAACGCATTGATTTAGTGAGAGACTTCTTATGAAATTATTTGTACTACATGGTATGGTTTAATATAAAAAAATTTGATAGTAAAATTTACTATAGGACTTGATATAGTTTTGTTAAACTATGTTGACCGAACACCCCAATGTTTCATCCTATAAAATTTTTTTTTTAAAAAAAAAGAATAATAATATCCCACAATATACTCAATTAAAAATACATAAGAGCAGTTGACATCTAACTTCACGATGGGTTTGAAATTTTATGTTCAGGTGGAAGATTTTTTTTTCAACACGTTCTTTGGAAAAAAGCTCACTTCGTAATGCTTTTCGTTTTCCATGTTATCGAATTAGTTTATATCATCCCGGTCACCCGGGTCAAGCAAATTCGTGACCCTAACCCGACGTGACATAAAATGATAGTCCCGACTCGAGGCGAGTCGAGTCAAATGACCCGGGTCGATCGGAGCACTATACCTCGACGTTTTAATGATTCCTTTTTATCCATTTCAATACAATCTCAAACCAAATCTACGCGAAATTCTTGTCTTTAAGCATTTCTTTCAGAAAAACCAAAATTACATGTAAAGTTGTGTCAAAATCAGCGCTTAGATTTTTTTACGCGGATTACCGTTTGGTGCTAAAAATGTCGTCATGTACTAGTGTACTTGAAACGTTAAAATGTATTGTAATATAAAACCAATGAGTAAAATATCCTTAAAAAGTAAGTTTAATGGACCCGCAATAAAAGTTGCATAAATTTAAAAATCTATAGCCAATATCGTAAGTTTTAATAAGAGAGTGTAACTTTATTAAATTAATGGCGAATTGTAACATGATGATTGACTTAATTTTGAATTAAAATCGGAGGACTTCGAAAATCATTACTATTTATTTCATTAAAAAAAAATCCGAACAAACTTTGATTGTCATTACGATTTAGAGTCTCAAATAAAGATAAATCTTTTTCCAAAATGTACTTATTAATTTACGAAATTGAAAATAAATAAATGAAGCATTTTTGGTTCGTTCATTTCTAATCCGTGTTCCATAACATGGAATTTTGTTCCGGTTTGTGATACATTATTTTTGATTGGCTAAATCATTGATTACTACATTGATTGGCGCCGTTATTCCTGATCTGATCCTCTTAAATAGCCAATCAAAATTCAGTAAATATTTTGACCATCAGACACGGATTAGAAATGAGATATTTCGTAATCACAAAAAATTTTTAATTCTGCCCAAAATTAAATTTTGGCCAGAGTTATCTTAACTGGTTAAAAAAATCTTTAACCGGTTAACAAGATAACGTCTTAACCGGTTAATTAACTGGTTAAAAATTAACCGGTTCCAACATTATTTTTCTCTCGAAACTACATTTATTAAATTTATCGAGCACATCTTCTATCAACTTATATATTAACACATTAATATTTTTAAAGTTGTTTGTGTTACCTCTTGATATTTCAATTTCTTGTGTTCATTACGGATTCTAATATGAACGAAAATGAATTTGGTTTTAATAATGGTGCGTTGTTTTTGATTTTCAAATTAGGTTTTATTGGGTTTATAATTTAGGTAGAATAATGGCTGATCATTGGGCGAGACCATGTACCACATTTTAAGTTCATAATGTCAATTTATCAAAAAAAAAATAAAATTATAGTTTAAATAAAGGAAACAACATGAATGGTCGGTTAAGTCACGAATTTGGCTAATAAATAAAAGGTTTTTATTGTAACATCCTTTTTTCTTACTATACAATAAGTAACACATAGATTCATACACTAAAAATATAAAATAATAAGTCTTTTTTTTTCAGTTATTACCTAAGTGCCGAAAAAAATTAACTTTATTATAATAAATCATTGGCATTTTTTTAAAAAGTAAATTCTTTGAATTTTCTGATGTATACTCAACTTTACTATTCGAAAATTCCATTTCAATCCATTAATCCATTCCCATACAATTTCAAACTGAGTCTACGTCTTTATCCTAAAAAAAGAGGATGTTCAAAAATTTACATGCTATTGAAATTTTTTATTCTTATTTATTATTATTTTTTAATTTTTATCCGCGGGTTTGAAGCTAACTATGTAGTAGTGTAAAATAAATGTTTAAAGGAATTTGGTAAAAGATATGCTAATTTTAAAAAATGATTTTCGGTAAGTAAAAAATCTAGCCAATATCGCAAATTTATAATTTTATTCAATTACTCTATGGTTCGATATATAGGAATAATTTATCTAAAATTCTCGCATTATATAGTATTGAAAAAAATTTTTAAGCAGTTGCGAATTCTATTTAGTAGGTTCAGCAAAGTATCTCTATCTTTATGATTGTAAAAATGTAAAAATATAGAAAAATGAGAATATAGCATTTCAAAATAAAAGTTAGCATATTTATATCTAAATCTTTTAATCTTAGCTTTTTGTTATAAGTTATTGTGCTTTGCAACGATTAATATCAAAATTATTTATCAACTCAAAAGCACAATAACGATATTATCGTGTGATTTTATGATGTTGACTTAAACATCTAATAATATTTGAAGCAGGTATGTTAATATTTCATTTATTTTAGAATTTATTAAATTTTAAAGCACTAATTCAATTATATTGTGTTAAATAGCATCAACAAATTCATCAACTCCAAATCCTTTATTACATTGCTAGATGGATTGAGCATTTATTAACGAATTACAAATTATATGTTTCTTTATTTTATTTAGCAAAATTATTTTTTTTGAATAAAAAATAGATAAGTACAATGATTTGATACTAAAACATTAAGTTTTAATGATTAAATAATACTCAAGATCAATAAAATTCAGTAATATATGCTTATTTATATTTAATAATACTAATAATTTACAAGTGTATAAAATTATAATATGTATATATTTATTTACTAGTTTAAAATATATTAATGTAGCTTATTCCGATATAAAAAACTTAATTTATAGTTTATTTTTGATATCAATAAAAATATCAAAAAACAAGTTCGTCTACATCATATAATAAATATTTTATATCTAAAATTAAATAAACATTATTAATAAAATAAATAATTAATTAATTATATAATTGAAATTATATAAACTTTTGTTTGTGATAAGAAAATTTATGAATTGTTATTAATTTCTAGCTTTACTTAATATTATAATAATATGTTAACATTCATAATTACTTTAAATATGACTTATTTAACTAAGGACCAGATTTTTATTTTAATTTAGAAGATATTGCAAAGGAATAATCGTAATATCGTTTAATATACTTTAAATATCTTTTTATCTTTATAATTTAAATTTTAAAATTTAAATTTATAAAAAATTTATTTACTATCATATCCGATTTTACGATCCCATATATCAGTGATTATTTCTTTGTCATTCTGACTTGAAATTAAATTGATATCCATCTGATGGTCACTTCGAATTATTTCTCTACATAGTCATTCCTGTGTAATCGACACCTTATTTAGCCGAATTACTAATAAACATATTAAAAAACCTCACTTATATTTAGCTTTTTTATAATCTGATCCTCGGGTGGCTGTATTAGATTTTTCGAATCATGTTACTCGAATCGATTCGAAGGCGAACATTCGTCACAATGCATACATACAAATTTTACATTCTTTAAATAGAAATAGAACTTTTCTATCTATAAGTTTATAAATAAAAAATTTTATATGACTATTGGATTTATTAATGTTATTAATACATAAATGTCACGCAATGGAATTCAATCTAAAATTTAGTCCAATACCTTCTAAAGTCACGTCAAATTTGATCTCTGAGAAACCTTGTCGATCATCCTAGATTAATGCAATTTTTAAAGGTTGATTCGCAAGCTCTCTGTATTAATTAATATAACATAAAATTTGGAATAAACTATATTATTATAAACGCCTAAAATAAAAAAGTTTTTCTTTTTGTTCGCTTTAATAAAATAATAAGCTAATCGAAAATTTTAAAAAAATTAAATAATTTTAAATTTAAGTCCAAAGCAAATATAAGTTTGAATTTCGATTAAAATGATTTATTTTCACATCAAAAAGATTGGATCGAAGTTAATTCCAATTCAAATCATATTATAAGATGCTCAATTAATTCGAAATTCTCTATGGTATTTAAGTGTCGAAATATTTGTTTCTTCAAAATCAAAATTTTTTCAAATTTTTTCATTTTTATTTTCATAAACAAAGTGTATGCACTCATGTAATTAAATATTTTTTTTTAAAGTTGAATAAACTTTTTTATTTTGACTAGTTAACCAAACTAATAATTTATAATGATAAATCTAGACAATCTAGACATGAATGAAATAAATTTCCAACTAATTCCGCAACAAATTGAACCCATCTGTAAAAATATTCACGGTAATAAATATTTTTTAAACTTTGCAATGATTTTTTTTAAAGCTTGCAATAATCATTTCATTTTGCTTTAAATTAATAATGTATAGAATTAGCGGGATTCTCTGATATCATGCTTTATCCACATCCATATTACCTTTCAAATAATTATGAAAGCAATATTCAAGGTAATAAATATTATTTAAACTTGAAATGAAACTTCATTCATTTCAAAACCCTGAGAATGAGAATATTTTTAAATAGTTGGCACGAAAATTTATATTATAAATAGATAGTCTCACAGAAATAATTTTTCTGCTGTAATTTGGTTCAAATTTAAATTTATTAACCCGTTATAATTACCATATACTCATTTACTTTTATAAAACAAGATGTTGGTAACGTAATGTACCCACCATTTAATTATATGTACAATCGGCCTATCATATCTCAAAACTTTAACCAAGGTAAAACTTTAACCCTTTGATTTTCAAAATTGCCCGAGAACGTTGAATACCGTTTAAATATTTGGGTATTAAATATATTAAAAACAAAATTAAACATATCATTTTATCATTTTGTCTTCTTTCTTAGGTTTTGACGTTATTACCGAAACTTTTGAAAGTGGAAGTTCCCAATCTGGCGAAAGTTGTGAAGAAGCTAAAATAACAAAGAAAAATAAAGTACCTTGTAAATGGGACAATCGTTCAACAAATTTGTTGCTTTCATATTTGAAAGAACATAAGAAAAATGTTCTAAAACTATGCTGCCGTGGTTCTACAGCAGGAAAAGCTAGAGTGAATCTTTGGAAAGGTGCTTCTGATATGCTACGCGAATATGGCTACAACAATTTTTCTGAGAAACAGTGTTCAACTAAGTGGAAAAATATGAAACAGTTTCATAAAGTAAATTTATTTCCTTTTAATAAAAATAATTGGCTAAATTGGTATTAATTTTATTATTGAAATTTTCAATTTAGAATAAGTCGTTCTTTGTGTATAAGTCAAATTTTGAAGAAGTAATAAGGTTAGTTGCAAAGATTTTACTATATAATTTGAATTATAATAAGTACTATTCTGATTTAATATTCTAATTTAAGTTCGGAGTAAAAGAAAAAGGTCGTCAGATAAAAAATGCGTTATTTTTGATTAATAATTATAAATTTATGTAATTTAAGAAGAGTAAAGATTAAGTTTTTAAAATTTTAAGTTTAACAAAAAAAAAAATATGTTTTATAAAATTAGCTTTAAGTTTTATTCAAATTATGATTTTTAAGTTTAACAAAAAAAAAATATGGCTTTTAGTTTAAGTTTTATTCAAAATTGTGCGTCTATTTCAGATTTTCTACAAATATGGTTTTAAGAATAAAATATATTGTTATTCTTCAAATACTCTGTTTCTATAAAAGAATTTCTATATTTTAAATAGGCATAAAACATGAGGATCTCTCTTTTTTCGAGTTGCCGTAAAGTTATTGTGAAAAAAATAATTCTTTAAACTTATTCAGTCATTTTCATGAATTTTATGGAAAAATTCGGTACATATAATGATTGTTAAAACAAGAAACACAGCTTTATCTACATTATTTTAAATTACCTTTCTTTTTAAGTTTTACAATTAAAGATTACAAATAATAAATCTATTGCCTATTATCGAACAGGATTTTGTTTGATTAATTTTGCAAAAAAAAATTCGACGTACTTTAATTATACCAATGAGATGTATTTTTAATTAAATCATTATGTGTGAATTAGCCAATTTAGATTATACTCAATTTGGTATTGATCTCATTTTGAATCAGATCAATGCAATATGACTTTCAATACCTTCTAAGGTAACTGCGATCTTCCAAAAATTAAAAGCAAATGCTAATTTTAATTAAACGAAGAGACGAAGTACTTAGCAAACTCTTATAATATTTTTATTCGCTTTAATAAAAATAACCAGAAAGCAAAGAAATCTTAAACAATTAAACAATGTAAAATAATTTTAGTTTAAGTCCAAAGCAAATATTTCGATTAAATAGATTGGATCGAAGTTAATCCAAAGTAATTAGATTGGATTATTGCTCAATTCAATTCGAATAAATATGCTATATAAACATAATAAAAAATGAAAATTATCTTTCTTGAAAGAAATTCTTTTTAAAAAAAAAAAAATAACACTAATTGTTCGCCATGAGTTCAAAACAAGATACATACGCTTATAGTATTCAACATGGTAACGGAATGTTGATCTACAGTATTTAAATTAAAATTATTATAAACTATTAATTAATTCTATTCATTTTGCTTTTAATAACAGATCCATTATTGAAATCCCCTAGACCATATACCAACACGTCTTATTATCCTTATTATCAGGTTCATACTCAAAACAATTGTGGAAGCCTTAATCAAGGTAATGAAATAATTTAAAACTTTGCTTTGATTTTTATTTTATTTAGACTAACAATTTATAAAATTAGTGACGGGATTGTTAGATATCTACTCAACAACTCCCAATAATTATCCTATATTGCCATTATTGAATTCCCCGGAAGCTACTGCATCTGCTACCATTGCGCCATCTCAATTTTACCCAAATCAAGGTAATGAAATAATTATAAAACTTTTGCATTGATTTTTATTTTATTTAGACTAACAATTTATAAAATTAGTGACGGGATTGTTAGATATCTACTCAACAACTCCCAATAATTATCCTATATTGCCATTATTGAATTCCCCGGAAGCTGCTGCATCTGCTACCATTGCGCCATCTCAACTTTACCCAAATCAAGGTAATGAAATAATTATAAAACTTTTGCTTTGATTTTTTTTTATTTAGACCAACAATTTATAAAATTAGTGACGGGATTGTTAGATATCTACTCAACAACTCCCAATAATTATCCTATATTTCCATTATTGAATTCCCCGGAAGCTGCTGCATCTGCTACCATTGCGCCATCTCAATTTTACCCAAATCAAGGTAATGAAATAATTATAAAACTTTTGCTTTGATTTTTTTATATTTAGACTAACAATTTATAAAATTACCATTGCGCCAGCTCAACTTTACCCAAATCAAGGTAATGAAATATTTTACAACTTTGCATTAATTTTTCATTTTGCTTTAACTAATTAATAATTTCTAAAATTAGCGGGGGAAAGTTCTCAACTTGATGAAGGTTGTGAAGTAACAAAAAAAAACAAACCATGGAATGAAAGTGCCATCACATCCTTTCTATCATTCTTAAAAGAAAATAAAAAAAAGGTTCAACAACTAAAAAGTCGTGGTAAAACAGCTAAGAATGTTAAAGGAACGCTCTGGCAAGATGCCTCCATTAAGCTACGCACAATTAACTACCATTATACTAGAGACCAGTGTGAGATTAAGTGGAAAAATATTTTAAGGGATCATAAGGTAAAGTGTTTTTTTTTTTTGATAAAAAATTTAAATCTATTCATTTATTTTTAATAAATTGGATTTTCTTTCTTTTCTTTCTAATATAGACTAAGAAAAACTTTAAGTATAAATCCGAGGTTGAAAAAATTCTTAGAAAAGATTAGATTAATGAACGTTAGCTCTAAAAAATTTCACATTTAAAATCTTTTGAATTAAAATTTAATTATAAGTTTAATTAATTATTAAAAAAAAAAAAAAAAAAACTCACGAATCCTATGTAATATATATATATATATATATAAATAGTCAAATAAAAAATTTTAAATCATGCTTAAAAATATTTTGTAATTTGTTAGTTGACAATAACATTCGAGTATTAATAATTTCAACTCAACAGACTCGATTTATATTAAAACTTTAACTCACATGAATTTATCATTATAAATTCATTCGTTCCAAAGGAACGACATTTATCAACGAACTTTACATATATTGCAACTTTGCTTCCAAGTTTGATTGTAAAAAAAAACATTTCATTGGATTCTTTATATTTGACATTTTTTTATCAATATCTTTTAAATTATTAAAAAAAAAAATTATCTGGGTTTTATAAGCACATGAGATACTCTTTTTGGAACATGTAGTGAAACTAAATAATTATGCATGTATTAAATCTTTTAATGAAAGATTTCGGCACCATAACTTTTGTTTCGTCAGAAATTCTCAAATTTATTAGAGTTCATTCAATTAAATGCATATTACGCAGCAACCAATGATAAATTTAAATTTGAAGCTGAAAACTAATCTATTTAATTAAATATTTTTTTAGAACGAAATGCATTCAATAATTATGCATCGGCGTTTCATCGATCCTACTAACTCAATTAGGATTGATAATGGAATATCATTTGACCATGGCGTAAGTCGCCAATATTTTTTTGGCATTTTCTTTTCCTAATTCAGGGCCAGTCAATAATTTCAGGCATATTATTCTGAAGAAATTATTTAGCATGTTTACTGGTGTGTTTTGAATCATTATCTTGCTGAAACCGCCTAACAAGTCTTCGATATCTGGACGGAGTATGTCTACATAAAATTCAGCGTCCATTATTCTAGAAAAACAATGTAAACTTGTTTTTCCTTTTATACAGAATCATCCCCATGCAAAGATTTTCGTCCGATCTTTAGGCATCGGGCGTATTTGTCGATGACCTTTTATACCAACGCTACAAGTATTTCGAAAGAGTTGAAAGGTGGTCTCATCTGAAAATATTGTATTTTCCCATCATCATTAAGATGTTTTTGGGCCCATTCTACTCGATTATGCTTATTATCCGCAGTAAGCATAGGTGTCGCTCTTGAAAGGCTTTTTCGATATCCAATACTAGTCAAATGCCTTCCTATCGTCTATAAGATACTTCCACACTTGTCGAAGATGACTTTGTTGACAAAGTTCTTATAGAAATGGATAATCTCGGCGGACATATTATACTAATGCCATTGATGCATTTCTATACGCTGCACTGCTCTGAATCATTTAAGCTTTTAAGATTATCATAAATGGTGGTGAGGGCATATAAGTCCGATTATGGATCTCTTTAGCATTCGTAATTCCCTGATTCCATATTGTTTCTTGTCTGGATGTCATGTTTCTAATTAATGTTTTTTCAAAGAATTTTTGAAAGGTTCAAGTATAGTGAAAAAAATTATAATAATTTCGGTGCTTGCAAACCTAACAATCATACATTATTTGGATCAAGTTTTTCGCCACGGAAAATTTTCTGGTTTTTTATCCCAAACTTGTATGTCAGTTATAATAAAAAACATAAATATCTCGTATTTTAAAAATTCTAAAAGGTTTTCAATATTAACTTGAGTTTGTGACTGATAATAATAATAAATAGCAGGATTTAAATATTATGGATATTGATAATGTCAGGAACTGTATTTTTCGGAATAACGTGATCAAGGTTTCCTGAAATGTGATTGGAAATACGGGGCTTTTTGCAAATTGATGTTAAATTTAAACATATTTCGGCCTAAAAATCATTTTTTGCATATAAAGTAAAATTGATTTTTCCCCCCTTTTATTGCAAAGACCTCAAGAACTAATTCCATTAGGCTAATGTGCATAATTAACATTTTTTTACTGCGGCTTTCAATTTTTTAATTGGGAAAAAAATAAACCAAACCTTTTTTTTTTATGTTTTTGTGTATGTTACATTTATCATTTAACTCAAAAAAGTTCTCTTTTATAAGTCATCATAGAAATATTATTAGAAAAAAATCAGTCAATGAAAGAAACTTTTTAAAATACCAATATATTTATGTTGATAATCATTCCTTATTACCATTTTCATCTTGGCGAGAAATATTGTGCGACAAACCATTTTCAGGAATTGAATGTTGCAATTATTACAATAGATTAGATAGAAGAGTTCAGAGATTCAATTTTTGATGAAAAGTCATTAATTCTTTAGAATTTAAGTTAATATTGATATCCATTCCATATATCTCCTTGTTCAAAATATCTATAATCAAAGAATTTGAAAATAGTTTGCATGTAACGTAATAATTTGCTGCGACGCATTGATAAAAGAGCCCACCCATGTTCGTAATTATCATCCAAAGAGAGATAACCGTTGTCGTCATCTTGTGGTTTATAAAAAGTCTAAGCTCGTCCAATGGCAAAAAATTGGACGTTAGTTGGCGCAGTCGTCGTTGTGCTTGTTTGATGAGTGAGAGCAATATTTTCACAAATGAACGATTATTATATTAAAATGAATTTACAGTATCTTGTATAAATCCATTCTATATGCTAAAGAAATAATAATAATTAATTTATAATGGTTTAAATAGATTTTCAACAAAAATAATTATATGAGTCTATTCTTACTGTAAAAATTCTTTTAAAGGTTCTATAGATGACTCAATATTTATAAATTTGTGACAATAAATATTACGGATATTTTCTTTATGAATTGTTTTCAATAATACTGAACGCTTCAAAGTGTTATAAACCGAGACCGCTTAAAGCTTTCTTTGTCGAAAATTTTAAATGATTAGTAGGAATATTGATTAAAATTTTTTGAACTCATAAGTTGTTTGAAATATGAAAGTTACAAAAATAAAAGGAACAAAAAAAAAAGTGGGAAGGATCATTAAAAATTAAAATCAAATCGAGTGTAAAATAGATATTCAGATTAACCCGTAATCTGTCAGATATTTTAATAATTTGATGGTATATCTGTATTTATTATTGAAATTTTTTTTAATATAGCAAGTTTCATTAAAATTATATTATTTTAATAAAAAGTGTTCATATTATTTAATAACTTTGTCTCGGGATGCAAGCTTTCTTATTCAGTAAGTTTTTGTAAAAAAGTAAGTATTCCTATCATTCAACATTTGAAGAAAGTGTAAATAAATTTTGTCGAATTTGATATATTGTCTGTTTCATAAGATCGTAAATTCATGGAAAATAAATTAGCTGAGTGGGAAAATGTGCAAAGAAATATAAGGGGTTGTGTAAATAAAAATGTATGGAGAGGAGAAATTATTTTTAACAAAAATTCATATTATGATATATTGATGTATTTTAATGCAATACCTTTTACGTGTAATAATTCTAAAAATTAACGATACGGTTCATGCACATAGCGAAATAATTGTATGTATTTAACCAGCATATAGGTAAATGATTAATTTCTCGTTATTAAAATTGATTATACATTGCCCGAGACAAATTTGCAGAGTTTCTATCGTTTATTGGAAAAAATGATTCTGGAACCACGACTCAATTACTGAACTTATTTATTTTTTATTATAAAGGAAATCCCATAAAAAATGTATTATACCTCACTAACTTAACTTATTTAAGTAACCAAATAATTTAATCAATCTGAAATTTAAACGCTCGAATTTCCCTTTTTAGATGGTCACACAAAGAACATAGTTAAGTATTTTTCAAATTGAATAGCATTAAGTTGAAAATTAATAATGTAAAAAAATTGCTTGTTAAGCTTATTTCATTGAAAAAAAAGATTTTTTTTAAAAAAATCTTCCCTTCCATAAATATATATATATTTTTTTTAACGAATAATTAATACAAGATACAAATTCTTTATAAATTTACCATACAAATATTAAATATATTGCAAAAAATAAAAATATTTACAAAAATAATTCGCCTTCTATAATTTATCTGCAATAATAAAAATAATACTACCAAAATATATCGTCTACATTAAAAATATATTTTTTTCGAATGTAAAGTATTGAAAGACCAGTGAACAACAAATCTATAGTAATAATATAATCGTAAACGTGCACAGTTTATAATTTAAATGCAAAGTCATTTTATCTCCAATGTGTAGTTGAACAGCAGCAATGAATTTCTATATAACATAAAGAAAACCTTGTTGGCACTCATAATTATAATCAATTTATTTTTGATCTCAATAGATAGATAATGAATATTTTATATATAATTAATTAATTAAATTTCATATAATTGAATTTGCCAAAATTCTTTCACCTTACAACGAAAATAATGTTAATTTTACGTTAAACTAAAATATGATAATAAAAAAATAGTAATATCTTGTGCCATCATCATATTACAAAATTGTAGAACGTTATTAAATCAACTTGTTTCTGCGGATGAAGTGTAAGAGTGATGTGGATAGAACTCTGAACATTTTCATTATCCTCCAAAGAATCTTCATCTTCAGAAATGTCCTCATTTTCATCAAAATTCACATTTCCATCTTCAGGTTTTGAATGATGTAAAGGAAGGACATTCCTCAGATTATTTTCAAATAATAATTTTTGATCTTCGGAAAGTGATGCATTTAATTAATATAATTGACAGGTGACACAATAGTTTGTTTCAATAAAAAGTGATGATCAATATCATTCGAGATGGTGTGGTATGCGGTAAAATCATTTTATCATCTTAGCGTGTGATGAAAAAACCTATATTCAAAAACGTCGGAAACTTTATGTGACATAGTGTTATTTATTAACGAACATAAAAAGTTGAATAAAAATGAGTTAGCGAATTTATTATAAAATATGATTTTAAAGAATAATCTTTTACAAAGTTTTTGATACCCATTTTATATATCTTTTAATCAAGTGTACAAAGCTTTGCACCTAGTCAAAGCTTTGCACCCTCATATAATATATATTACTAATATTTTATAATATATATATTTTTTTTGTATCACAAATAGATGCTTTTCATTCACAATTTCCCTCATTAGGACGGACCAATTATCATGTGAACGTACATTTCATCATAATTATCGTTATTGTCAACAAAATAACTCACACAAATCAAAGAAAGAAAAAAAAATTTTACCTTTACACAAAAAGGCTGGTTAACTTCGATGAAAATTATTGTAATTGCATTATCGTTTGTATCGATTGTCTTTTTGTTATTGCCTTTTTAGTGGGTTGTACGTACCGATTGTGTTTTAATGCAAAATGCCGGCCGAAAGGACGTAGATAATATAAAATGGGGGGTTTTTTTTTCACACAACGTTTATAAAATTTTATCAAAAAAAAAGAATTAAATTTTCTTTTTTGTTAACCACTAATGAACAATTATAATTATGAATTTCCAACATTGAGCGATGATGAAGATCATCAAAACATGGAATCCGAAACTGATTCTCAAAGTACGGAGAATACCACAAATGAGATTTTAAAGGAAGGTTCCACCTTTAGGTATTGGGATGAAGCGGTTAATGCCGTATATAATCACGCAAAAATATTAGGATTCAATTTTGTCAATCTAGAAAAACGGAGCGTGATGGGGAGCTACATTTATTTGTGAACGTTCAGGGAAACCTCAAAAAAAATAAAATGGATAAACAACCCGAATCAAAAAAGATTTCATGTCCTTGGCATGTCAATTTATCTTTACCAGCAAAAGATAATGTGAAAAAATTAGTAATCGTTACAAAGTTTGTGGATCATCATAATCATGAATTGCATCCTAAAGATTTCAAAGCAGATATTGAACTTTAACTAAACGTTGTAAATTTGGAGCAGCTATACAACGAAAGTACTTACGTGCAAAATATCCAGGTCATCCACTATCTAATCAAGATTTATCGGAATATTTGAAACATCTCGAGATGAACATGACGTCATCAAGATCTTTAATTTTTTAATAAAACAAAAAGACATTACGATTTTGAACCCGGTACCACAACCCTAAATAAACCTTTTTGGATGACGCCAAACCAGGTGGAGACTTGGAAACGATTTAACGATGTCATTTTAAATGACAACAACCACAAAATAGACACTTATGATATGAAGTTATCTTTTTTCTTCGCAATGGATCTAAATGGATGTATACGAATCGTTGCTCAAACGTTAACAGATGATGATTCTACAGAAAATTATGAATGGATATTGAGGTGCACATTAGCTGCTTCTGATGAAGAACCAAAAACGATTATCACTGATACGTTGCTGTTAAAAGTGTATATAGTAATGCCATACATCGATATTCTATATGGCACTTACTTTATTCAAATTCATACGATCATGTAAAAAAAAAAAAACTGGGTTCAAAGTATGAGAAATTCCTCGAGGATTTTTCAAGTGTCAAAATTCTTTATTAGAGGAAATTTTTCTACAATGTTGGCATAATTTAATAAAGGATTATCCAGAAATTGTTGATTATTTAACCAATACGTTATATGAAAACAGAAATTATTGGGCAAAGGCTTTTGTCGTTGAAATTTTTACGGCAAATCTGGATTCCATTTTTCAAATTGAAGTGATCAAAAGTTTCATACTTGCCAATTTACAAAGTCCCATATTTGATTTGATTGATCACAACTTGAGCATTTTAAACAAATTTATGTTCAGGAAATGACAATTTTTAAAACAATGATCGCAAATAATGAATTTGTTTATGACTTAGTTAATATGCAAATTGGAAAGTACTTGTCCGCTGTTGCGTTAACCATCAACTTCATGAAATGGAACTTTCTCTCAATTTTGTTGCCAGAAAATATGATATTATTCTGATCAAAGACATTGAGAAAATTTTTGCACCAAACTATTATTTGTGGTAAAAGATAACTAACTACCTTCCACTTAGTAAAATATTTTCAATGATTAATACGAATGAAATTCATGAGGAGTGGAAGAAATCATTGGTGCACTTGTTTAAATAGTATTAATTATGGATTGGTTTGTAAGCGTTATTTTCGGGTTGTGAGGTGCACACCCAAAGCAAAGTTTCAAATTACAACGATGGTATAAGGAAAATTGTGAAAATGATACTTTTGAACCGTTTTTAACCTATAACTTTTGATGAAAACTGGATCTTTATATTTTGGAAGCAATATAATGAACATCGTAAAGATTTTCAATAACAAAGTCAAATGCCAGATGATAAATTTTTAAGCACTGTTAAATAAGCAATGACAAGAGAAACAAGTTTTTAATGAATGTTTGTATTCCCTGCTCGTAAATAGCTCGTAAATGAAATTATTAAATTTTAATATACTGTATTTGACTATACTAAATAAATAATAAATAATGGATTTCATAAACGAAGACTTTTGTTTGGCTCATTAAGTGAGACAAATAATTCTCGCATATACCCCCCTAAATAAATGCTGATCATGTACTGTACATGTTCAAGAAAAAAAGGCTTTCTTCACTTTTGCAGTAGAAAGGATGAAACTATTTTTTTTGAGTTAATGTTAAATCTGGACTCATTTAACTAAAAAATCATATTTAGCACAAATTTATTTAATTCAAGAGAATTAGTCTCGCATATAAAGTAAAAATTTCTTCAATTTCTGTTTTACTTTCTAAATTAAATTCATATTATATTTATTATATTATAAATAACGTCTCGTGACAGTTCTAACGATATCAATATAATTTACTTATACAATGTTACGTATACAAAAAAAAACTTTCTAAACCCATGATTATCATAAAAATTCGAACCAATTCCTAGAAATATTAATTTAAACTTATTTAATTGGCCATATCATGTTAGCTCTTATCAAATTAATTTACTTAATTTTGCCTTAAATTTCAATAATTCAGATTGATTGCGTATTACTCGAAAAATTTTGCCAATTTTAAAACCTTTTCTAAACGAAATAAAAATAAAGTAAAAAAAGAAATAAAAACATAATCTAATAAATTGTTTAACGTTTATCGGATTATTTAGTTAAAAATGTTAGAATGACCTTTGAAAATGATCGTTGCTTGACAAGCCAATATCATTATAATTTTGATTAATATCTCGTGCCATCGATATATTATCCTCAATATCTCCATGAGATGAACTCGTCTCTATATTGGAAACGTAATGTTGAAAAAATTGTTGATGATGTTGGTTGTTATTGAAATCAACTTGCTGGTGTGGATGATGAACATGAACATTCACATCCTGGTAAGAAATGATGTCATTCATAATTCCGTCGGAATTTGATCTCATTTCACTTTTGAATATTTGATTTTTTGAAAGATATGAAGGAAGAACTTGCTTCAAGCTATTTTCGAGTTGCAGCTTATGATGCAAAGATAATGGTAACTTGTTGCGTCTTGAATTATCCGAATTATCCATATTATTTACATTAATGTCTAATCCAAACATTTCTTTATTTAGTATGCTTGCGGTTAAAGATAACGAATAAATTACACAAGAAACGGAAAAATTTTCTCCATAAAATTGATAAAAAAATTGGTGATCATATTCTTCTGAAGTGAAAGAGTCTGGAACAACCTTTTTACAAATCACAAAATAAAGATCACCATCATATGGATAAAAAAATCTATCGGGATTATAAAAAGACGTTTTTGTATTCATATTTTAATTATTTAATTTTCTTTGTTGTTCTTAATTATTTTTTTTTTTTGAAGCCCAAATTCCTTAAAGGAACCATTTATTTATACATAATTTTTTTTTATTCGACATTATTTGTTTTGAACAGATCCTAAATGTACCAATTCAAATCAAACGCCTTATAATATTGCATGTAAATACCTTTGCACCTTCGATCCTTGATTTAAAGAAATACAAAGTCAAAATATTAGAACACTTGAAAGCCTTTGCACCCTAATAAAATATAAGTTACACTGCCGCGTATAATTCACGTGATATTTATTACATAATACAAAGAACCTTTTTACAAATCACAAAATAAAGATCATCATTTGGATAAAAAAATCTAACATCGGGATTATAAAAAGACGTTTTTGTATTCATATTTTAATTATTTAAATTTCTTTGTTGTTCTTATAAACAACTTAATTATTATTTTTTTTTTTTGAAGTCCAAATTCCTTAAAGGAACCATTTATTTATACGTATTTTTTTTTATTCGACATTATTTGTTTTGAACAGATCCTAAATGTACCAATTCAAATCAAACGCCTTATAACATTGCATGTAAATACCTTTGCACCTTCGATCCTTGATATAAAGAAATACAAAGTCAAATATAAGAACACTTGAAAGCCTTTGCACCCTAATAAAATATAAGTTACACTGCCGAATAGACGCGTATAATTCACGTGATATTACATAATACAAACATTATTCACAATATAATATTAACCAAGTGAATAACAATAATTTAATAAATTTTAAAATGTGAATAAAAACTCATCAGACTAATCGCGAAAAAAAAAAATAATAATCTTAAAAGAAGCACATAAAAGTCCATCATTATTTTACCATTCGACGGTAACTAATCATAATACTACGAAACTCGTGAAACTATGCGGTTGCTTGTCTATGTTAGGTACAGTGTCATATCATAGATATTTTTTTTTTTTTAGTAGATATAAATGAGATACAGTACAGCGCAAATCATGTCTTGAAACACTCCTATTCCTTGTGAACCTTAATGTCTTTCTTGTTCTTTCTTTAGTGATCGTTTGAACTCGAAATTGAGTGAGCAGTCGTTTTCTTTCCGCCTTTGTTCTATTTTTGACTCGGAGGGTGCCGATAAATCTAACTAAAACAAAGTTCTGCCCCGATCATTAATTTATGCATAAAAAGATGGTAATTTTTTTTATTTTTTACTTCTTTATCTCTTATTATCAAAAAAAAACTAGATTTTTATTTTTAATATAACTTTTCAGACGGATTAGTTATTTTATTAATTTCCTCATTTTTTATAAAAATCAGAAATATTTACGTGTACGGCACTTTACTAAACAACCTTCTTCTTAAATCTGACTGTAATGAGTAATTATGAAGCCTTGGAAACGTTAAAGGAAGGCTCTACCTTTAGAAATTGGGATGAAGCGATTAATGCCGTATACAATTACGCAAAATTATTAGGATTCAATTTATGTCAATCTAGAAAAACAGAGCATGATGGAGAGCTGCGTAAAAGAACTTTTATTTGTGAATTTTCAGGAAAACCTCAAAAAAATAAAACAGGTAGACCATCAAAATCAAAAAAAAAATCATGTCCTTGGCATATCAATTTATCTTTACCGACACAAAATAACCATGAAAATTTAGTCAAAGTCACAAAGTTTGTTGATCAACATAATCACCTGACAACGCAAATGAAGCAAGATGTTGAAATGTTAACGCACTGTGAAGGTGGAGCAGCTATACAACGAAAGTATTTGCATGCAAAATATCCAGAATATCCACTATCTAATCAAGATTTATCTAATGCCATTATGCAATATAAAACAACTAAAGAAGATCATAATACCATCAAGATGTTTAAGTATCTTCTAACAAAACAAAAAGAAAATTTGGGATGGAAAGTATATTTTGATTTTGAACCTGGTACTACAATTTTAAATAAACTATTTTGGATGACACCAAGCCAAGTGAAGAATTGGAAACGATACAACGATGTCATTCTAAATGACAACACGCATAAAACAAGCTGTTATGATATGATGTTGTCTATATTTTTCGCCATTGATCAAAATAGATGTATACAAATCGTTGCTCAAGCATTGATAGATAACGAAATTTCAGAAAGTTATGAATGGATATTGAAACGTATCTTAGAAGCTACTAAAGATGAGCCAATAACGATTATCACTGATATGAAACGTGACATGGATATTGCCGTAGAATGTGTGCTTCCTAAAGCTTGCCATCGACATTCAAATTGGTCCCTATATTTATATTTAGAAAATAACGTAAAAATAAAACTCGGACCCAAATATCAGGAATTCCTCATTGATTTTTTTACATGTCGAAATTCTTTACATAAAGAAAGCTTTCAAAAAAATTGGGATTTTTTAATTAGAAATTATCCAGAAATCGTTGATTGTCTAACTAATACATTATATGAAAGCAAAAAGTATTGGGCAAAAGCTTTGATGGATGAAGGTTTTACAGCAGATATTGATTCTATCTATGAAAATATCTATAATTTTGTAACAAATGCATTGAACAATTCAAATGTTAGAGTTGAAGAATTAATTGATTATATTAATGAACTTCTTGAAAAAGAGTTTCATGAAATAAATGATCGAGAAAGAATTGAACGGTCGATTTATAGAACAAATGATGATATAAATAAAATTGATCATTATTTACCATTTGATTATATTAATAATTTAATTGAATCTTATCTATCACCCGCTTGTGCAAATTTACAACGTCGTGAAATGGAGCTTTCTCTTGAATTTACTGCCAAAAAATATGATATCGGTCTGATCGAAAAGAAAAGCATGGAGGAAATTGAAATTGAAGAAATTAAACTTAATTGTCCCTTAGAAAGCTGTGGTATTGATAAACAGATTTCACTCAAGAAAATATTTTCACTTTGGATTGACACGAAAAAGATTAACGAAGCGTGGTCGGTTGATTACAAAGGTGGTAATTATTATGACGTTACGAATTATATTTTATTGATGAATGATGGAAGTCATCATTGTACTTGTTTAAAATATATTTATTATGGCATAATTTGTAAACACTATTTTCAGGTTATGAATCACACAGATAAAGCAAATTTTTGTATTACAAAGATTTCGAAACGATGGTATGGTACCTTTATTCCATTATCTAAATGTCAACCAATTTGGCTATGCGAAATTTCAGTCCGAAATTTTTAAATATCATTATTATTATCATAAGTCACATATTAATATTATAATTTTACACGACATATATACCTCACTTCCATATTTTTATGATAAGATATTACATAGAATGCTCCATTACTATAGACGACTCGTTTTTTGATATTTTTTTATTGATATCACAAGAAAACTAAACTTTAAGTATTTATATCGAATAAGCTATTTAATATATTTTAAACTAGTAATAAATAAATACATATTATTATTTTATACATTTGTAATTAAAAATAAGATAGAATGAATGAAAACAGTTGTCAGATTGATATTATTTGTTGATCTAATTCTTAAAAAATGAATCTTTATTTTCTTAGAACTAATTTTTGTAACTATTTTTTAAAAAAAAAATTAATAATGCTTCCAAATTTAAAGAAATTTTACTTACTAATTAAAGTTAATTTTAGATATATTAAGAATTAGTTATCATACAAATATTTTTATAATAAAATTTTAAAATCAATAAAAATTACATTAATTAGTAACTTTTTGCACTTTTTGCATTAATTTAAGATCAAAGTTTTATTTAATAAAAGTATTTTCTTTATAAAAGTTAAAATTTTTTTTTAATTTTTATTTATTTTTATATTATTAAAACTTTATAAATATATTTAACATTTATTTATATATTTAAATATTATTTATTTATAAAAAAATCATAAATTTAAGTTAAAATTTTTGTATATAATTAATATTTTAATTAATAAAAATGAAATTTTATTTAAAATAATAGATTTATAATAAATTTTATAAAAAAAATTGTAAGATTTTATGTAGAAAAATCATAATTAAACTTGAATAAAAATCATTACCATTTAAGAAATAATGTTGTAACTGAAATTGATTTTCATGTGAAGTTGGAATTCAGATACTTTTTAGGCGTTTGAAATTGAAATTGGAATTCCAATTTTTGAATTCCAATTTTTTTTTTTAAGTGCAGAAATTTTATATAATCTTTATTAAATTTACATATTTATAATATTTATATAAGTACAAAGAGTAAGATAAGAGAATATAAAATTATCTATCTAATAAAAAAAAACTAAACTACAATCAATACCAACCTTGCATCATATTAGATTAAAATTAAAAGAAATTAAACCAAACCAACTGTCTAACATCTGGGACATGATTACTTTCTGACCAAAAATTTGACTAATTAGAATCCAATTTAACTGAATTGATAAATATTAATAGTATCAAAGGTGGAATAATATAAAAAGTGAAGAAAAACTCTGAAGAGACCTATAAATTTTTATTGGTTTTGTAATCTGAGTTTATGTTCTATAAGATTCTCCAATTTTTAAAGGCTTTACATTTATATGACCAAATTTTTCATATCTGACAAAATTACCTTTTTAATATAGTGTTATCTTATGATACTAACGACTGAAAATTAGTATTAACGCAAGATTAACAAGGGATTTAGCTTTAAGACTTTATGATACGATTTATGGAGAGCTTCTGAAGGTTTATCGATCAAATGTATTTTAGAAACAAAGTATAATTTCTGGGTTAAGTATTTAGAGTTTTATTAA